ACTTAATTCTTAATCATACTCATTAATATGAGATGGTGATATTTTGAAGATATTGTATACTTGCTCACCATGATTTTCACTATTTACTCACAAAAAACTATTTTCTTAAAGGTCTATGAATACATCTTATTCGCAGCAAGATCACCAAACCCAAAAAGGCATTTATTTTATTGCACAATCAAACAAAATGTTAACTATTCAAATGGCTCTTTATTTTGCCTATCTAAAGACGTTGTAGGCAAGATTGAAAGACAAACGACTAATGTGGTTTTCGAAAAAGTGTTTCCGAATTTGAAGAGTTAAGAGAATGGTTTAACATAGCTTATTCTCTAAAGGTACGATTACTTCACCATTGTTACTTGCCTATTTAAATTATCTTTTACAAAAGCCCCTGCATATATTTTGTAGGAAAACATGTTCCATTTTCTTCATGTAGGTTACTAATTGGCAAAGCAATGTTGAAAACAATATCAAATCAAAGTTTAGTATACCATCCCAACTAACCTTTAGGAGGTTCACACTGTTTTTTCTATAGATTATCAGATTCATTAGTAAAGTTATTGATTTACACTATAATTTCGTATATACACACCACATGTACCGGGAAAACGGCCTATTCCTCCCCAAACTAAGTTGCTTTGGCTAATTCATCCCTGAAACTTTGTCTCGTGCCTAAACCCACATGAACTAACATAGAGTTTGAATTTCCTCCCTGAACAAAACAAATCCGGACTAAACCCACAAATCGTTAAACGCCGTTATTGTTCCGTTAACGAACATCTGACTAGGATGCCACATCATCGATCTAAGCGACTGTGTTTTGAGGAGAAAACGGCCTATTCCCCCATAAACTAAGTTGTTTTGGCTAATTCATCCCTGTAATTTTATCTCATGCCTAAACCCACATGAACTAACATAAAGTTTGAATTTCTTACATGCACAAAACAAATCTGGACTAAATTGATGGATGAAGAACCTAATTGAATAGACAGTTGCTGGGATTAAAGGTGTTTTAGGGTATGAATTCTAGGATTTTGATAAATTTTCAGATGTGTACTTGGATTATGATGTAATTTTTGATTAATTATCAGAATATGATGTAAATTTTGGATTAATTCTCGGATTATAATGTCATTTTGGAATAATATGATGTTCTGTTTCAGATTATATTGTTTGCTTGAACAGGTTTTAGTTGGAGCTAGATTCAGCACCTCTGAATCCACCAACAAAAATAACAAGTGGGAGATACGTTAGGCTCATAAACCCATAGTGAAGAGAAGCGGAGCTGGCTCCGAATCAGGACTAAGTCGGGCGAGGATCTCGGCAGGGACCTGTGATGTAGGAGAGGTTAATGCGGACCTCGGACCGAATAACCTAGGAAGAGTATCTATATAAAGACGAGAGAAGACCCAGAAAAGGCATCGCCTACTTACTGAAAAAATACTCACTACTACTTTATGCACTTGTATTCACAAGATCTAGTCAGCTGGTCATTAACGGAACAGTAACATCGTTTAACGATTTGTGGGTTTAGTCTGGATTTGTTTTGTTCATGTAGGAAATTCAAATTTTATGTTAGTTCATGTGGGTTTAAGCATGAAATAAAATTACAGGGATGAATTAGCCAAAACAACTTAGTTTATGGGGGAATAGGCCGTTTTCTCCTCAAAACACAGTCGCTTAGATCGATGATGTGGCATCCTAGTCAGATGTTCGTTAACGGAACAATAACGGCGTTTAACGATTTGTGGGTTTAGTCCGGATTTGTTTTGTTCAGGGAGGAAATTTAAACTCTACGTTAGTTCATGTGTGTTTAGGCACGAGACAAAGTTTCAGGGATGAATTAGCCAAAGCAACCTAGTTTGGGGAGGAATAGGCCGTTTTCCCCCACATTTACCAGACAAGAAAAAAAAACTAAATCTGAGTTATTTCATTAAGCAACACTCAAAACTATATTACTAAATGTAGACATAATAATTTGACAACTCTTGAAAATGAAATGCAAAGAATAATGACACATGAATATTTGTATGTTACAACTTCTATAAGATAACAATATATATATATATATATATATATATATATATATATATATATATACTATTAATTGGGAATCACTAAATAATAAAAAACCTTTAAGTTGTAGATTATTACATAGAATGCCATTGATTTTTATAAATTTGAAGAAAGAAAAAAAAACATTTTTTAAATAATAAAAAATAAATCAATAAAATAATAACTGCCCAATATTTTTGGAAATAGTTTAAAGAAGATTCCATAATAAATCAAGTTATTTGCTGTCAAAAAAATTATAAAAAAGAAATCAAGTTATTAATTCGAAATTGTATAAATATAAACTTATTTATTTTGGTAATATATTATTAGATATTTCCGGCAATCTAATTTATTGTAACAAATTATTATTTAATTTAGATTTTAATACATTTCCTTAACAAAACTATGCTAATTAATTCTGATTAGTAGTACATATGAAAAAACGATTTTAATATTTTATTTTCCAAATATGAAAAAATATTTAGTATATTTGTCATATATAATCTAAACTAAATACTTTCATCCTTTAAAATATAACCCATTCAACAAATAATTTTGGATTTTAGGTTCTAAATATCTAGCTAATATTTTCAGTATAGATTAAATTATTTTACATTTTAATTAGAATTTAAATGATATAAATTTTGAAATATATTTTTTAGAAACGGGTAGTGTTCATTATTTTAAATATATATCACTAAAATAAATTTGAATTACATAAAAATATATATTTTAAAAACATATTATAATAGTTACTATATCTTCAAATTATTTTATTTAGAGCCAAATAAATTAATATATCAAAACAAGTAAATTATTTTATTTCGTCTTAAATTGTTACAAGCTTATATTCTTCTAAATTTGATTATTTTATTTTTTCAAAAAACATTAAAATATAATTTAAATACCAATGTTTAAATTTTCAAAGCAAATACTTCAAAATGAGAAAATATTCATTCACACCAATATTCTTATTTTTCTATAAATTTGAATAGTTTATTTTCTGTGAAACAAACACTAATAGAAAATTTTACCAGCTCATTAATTTTATTTGAACAATCATAATCACCATATTTGCGATAATGCATAAGGATCATTGGAAATTTTAGTTTTTTTAATATTTTGGTCATCATAAATTTAAAATATGCAATTAAGATTAGTATTTTTCGTCATCATCCACAAATAAAAATCTAATTTCATGTACAATCTATTTCCTATAAATATTATACATACATCCACGTCGTTGATTATCTCACAATTAATCTAGAGAAATTGTTAAAAATGCCCCTTTTTCAATACCCCTTTTCAAAAATGCCCCCTTTGAGAGTCCATTTTTAAGTTTGCCCTCTTTTAATTTTTAATGACCATTTTACCCTTATTTGAAACAAAATTAGGTCCACAAAATACAAAATATTTTTTGGCGGGAAAAGTGATCCCGCAATTTTCCCGCCAAAACACTTGTAAAAAACCTTTAAAATACCTTGTAAAATTTTCCCGTAAAATTTTTCCCGCCAAAAAATTTTCCCGCCAAAAAATTTTTTTTGCGGGAAAAGTGATTCCGCAATTTTTTTTTTTGGCGGGAAAATTTTTGGCGGGAAAAATTTACAAGGTATTTTAAAGGTTTTTTACAAGGTATAAATTTACAAGGTATTTTAAAGGTTTTTTACAAGGTTTTACAAGTGTTTTGGCGGGAAAAATTGCGGGATCAATTTTCCCGCCAAAAAATATTTTGTATTTTGCAGACCTAATTTTGTTATATTTCCTTATATATTTGTGATATATTTTATTAAAAGAAGGGTAATTTAGTCATTTTGTACATAAAAAGGGGTATTTTTAAAAATGGACAGCCAAAGGGGGCATTTTTGAAAAGGGGTATTGAAAAAGGGGCATTTTTGTGAGTCTCCCATTAATCTAAGATTGTTTCATAAATACTATATAAAATAAATATTTGTTTACATTAATCTAACCTATATTATATTCTAATCAAATAAGATTATTTTTTTCTAATTTACTCTTCAATTTCAAACTCCAAAATTTGACGTATGGTTCACAACATTAGCTATTGTGTCATAAATAATATAAATAGCATTCTATGGTTTTCTGCGTATATTATAATATATATACAACAATATATATCACCAAAACAACAAAATATTCTATATTTACAAAAAGTTTATGACAACACATTTTCTTAAAATTTGAAACCCCGCACGTATGTGCGGGTCAGAATCTAGTATATATTGGTGTAAGAATCACCTAGTTTGGAATTCTAATAGTCAAATAAGGACATAACAGAACATTTATTTATTTTCTTAGTTTATGTGAAACAATATAAAACGACAACTAATTTGAGACGGAGGGAGTACAACTTATAGTCCCACCATTGTGGTTGAGACATGGCTACTACCTTCCAATGCAACACTTCTTAGATAATCCAAAGTCGCGATTTAGCCTCCAACCTTTTGTTAAATGATATCAGAAAATTGAGTTTGATGGAAAAAAAAGCTACCGCTAATACTTTTTCCATGATTTAAATTACACTAAGAAAAAGGTTGTAAAAAAAAAAAAAAAACTAACAATAAAAGAAAGAAAATGCCAAAGAAAAATAAGGAATGTGTTCCAAAAACTCAGATCTCTGTGTTGATCCAATTATCCAAACATAAATTAAAGAGAATAGTAAGTCTTCACTAAAGGAATTTTTGCCACTTATGCCACTTTTGACGAAAAAAAAATCTGGCATGCCATCAAATAATCTGCATGCCACCGAGAATGTGAACTGACCAAACTACCCTTAATGAAAGAATGAAAAAAAAATCGAAAAAGAAAAAAGAAAAACATTTATCTCCTCTCTCTCTCCTCTCTCGTCCTTCTCTCTCTCTCTCCTCCGAACCCGCGTCGTTCTTCTCCTCCGCCACAGCTCCGAACTTCGACATCGCCGATCTGCAAGTACGGTTGAACGGACGCCTCCTCCTTCTCGAAATCGGTTAGTTTCTTGTCATGTATCCTCTTTTCATTGCTGCATTGATTGATTTGTAGGTAATTTAAGAGTATTTTGGAAATCTTTAAAATTAGGGATTTGAATGAGAATTGGGTTTTTTTGGAAGAATCGATAGTATATTGACGAATGGAGGTATAGGCATTGGTTAGAATCGAGTGTAGCCCGTACATTGTTGAATGAAGTCACATTTTAAGTAGAATCGAATTCGTCAGATCTCAGTCAACTGGTATAGCTAAGAGAAAGTTCTTACAGGGTACAACTACGTTTACGTATTCAACTGGTACAACTGATAGACTATAGACCAACTAGTACAACTGATAGTTTGTAGGTCAGCAGGTACAACTGATAGGCCAACGGTACAACTATGTTTAATTATTCAACTGGTACAACTAGAATATTTGTTTCAAATGGTGTATGTGCTATTTTTAATTGCTGTATTTTGAAGATAGTACCCTCCATAGTCAACTGGTACAACTGATAGTATGTAGGCCAACTGGTACAACTGATAGTATGTAGGCCAACTGGTACAACTGATAGTATGTAGGCCAACTGGTACAACTGATAGTATGTAGGCCAACCGGTACAACTAGTATAACAGTGGAAAATGGTGTATGTGCTGTTTTTGATTGTTGTATTTTCAGGATAGTACCCTGCATAGTCAACTGGTACAACTGTTAGAGTATAGTCCAAATGTATAGGCCAACTGGTACAACTAGTATAACTGTGACAAATTGTGTTTGTAATTATGTTTTAAATTGTTGTAATTACAGGAGGCGATGAAGAAGAAGAGCCATACTAACGTACATTTTGACTATGGAGGGTACTATTCAGAAGGGAATGAGTGGATTTATAAAAATTCACTATACGCTATATCGTTTAAGACGGCATGTTTAGAGAAGATAACTTATTCGGTGCTATTAGATAAGATCACTACGAAGGTTGGCCAGAATGGAGTCCCTGGGAATCTGAGACTGAGTTACAATCTATCTAAAGCTCGGAGAGAGACATATATTGTAGATGATGAGGACGTATACATTTTTTTAACAGAATGTGATGAAGAGGGTCGTATTCCAGTTTTGCATGTGGAGCTATTAAGTGACAATAACCAGAGGGTGGAAGTGTTAGTACCGGAGCGTCGAAGTTCAGTTGGTGTGAATTATGTAGAGCTAGTGAATGTGAATGAAGGTTTGGAGAATGATGTGAATGAAGTTTTGGAGAATGATGTGAATGAAGTTTTGGAGAATGATGTGAATGAAGTTTTGGTGAATGATGTGAATGAAGTTTTGGTGAATGATGTGAATGAAGTTTTGGTGAATGAAGATATGGTGAATGAAGTTATGGTGAATGAAGTGTGTGCGAATGTGACAGGTATGGAAGTTGTGGCTGTGGAAAGGTCGATGGATAACCATTTGGATGAAGATGTGGATGGTATGTTTGATTTTGATGATATTCCAGCTATTCCAAATCGTGTAAAAGGTACTCCAAAGAATATAGAATGGGAAGATGGTACGGGTATAGAACTTTATCAAGAATTTTGTTCTAAGGAGGCACTATGGGAATTGGTAAACAAAGCTGCAAAACAATTAGTTTATGGGGTTTTAACAATTAAGTCTGACCCGTTGAGACTTATGTTACGATGCAAACAATATTCTCAAGGGTGTAAATGGTATTTACGAGTTGCGAGAACAAAGCAATCAGATTATTGGAGTGTTAGAGTGCATAGAAAGATCCATACATGCTCGCGGTCTGTTGAGTCTACAAGCAATAGTGTACAGAGAGGAACACCACGATTAATAGCAGCTGTTTTACATGCTGACTTTCCAGGTAATCTACAGACCCCAAATCCAAAAAGCATCATGTCTATTGTGACAGGAAGACTTGGTGTGCATTGTTCATACTCCACTGCATTAAGAGGGAAAATGCAGCATGTTAGTGAAGTGAGAGGTGGACCAGAAAAAAGCTACAAGATGTTGTTTTCTTATCTCTATATGTTAGAGAAGGTAAATAGAGGGACTGTAACAAGTGTGGAGTTGGAAGAGAAGAAGTTCAAGTACCTATTCATCGCTTTGGGAGCTAGCATTGAAGGTTTCAGGGCAATGAGGAAAGTGATAATTGTGGATGCAACTCATCTCAAAACTGTATATGGTGGGATGTTGGTTATTGCAACAGCTCAAGATCCTAATCATCACCATTATCCGCTTGCATTTGGTGTAATTGATGCGGAGAAGGATGATAGTTGGATTTGGTTTTTCCAGAAGCTGAAAACTGTATATCCAGAAGTTCCTGATTTGGTGTTTATTAGTGACAGGCATCAAAGCATCAAGAAGGCTGTCATGACGGTGTACCCGAATGCGCATCATGTACACTGTATATGGCATTTGTCTCAAAATCTAAGACTCCGTGCAAAGACTGATAAGGATGGAGCTGCGAAGAAGTTCTTGGAGTGCGCTCATGCTTATACTGAGAGTGAGTTCAATAGAGAATATGGTATTTTTAGGAGTCGGTGGTCTAATGCTGCTGACTATTTAGATAGAGCCGTAGGGAGAGAGCAGTGGTCTAGGTACCATTTCCAAGGAGACAAGTACAACATAGACACTAGCAATGCTGCGGAGTCCATGAACGCTGTGTTTAAGAAAGCGAGGAAGTATCACCTCTTACCTATGATTGATGCCATGGTTGAGAAGTTCTCTGAATGGTTTAACAACCATAGGCAAGATTCAGGTAATGCATCGAGCACATCACAGGTTGTGCCTTTTGTGGAGAACATATTGCATGCTCGATGTTTAGTTGCTGCGAAGTTAAAAGTTGTTGAGCTTAACAGTTATAGACAAGAATACAACGTCATTGATGGGATGTCGGTAAGCTTTTTGGTGGATTTGAAAATGAAAACTTGTTCTTGCAAGACATTTGATATAGACAAGTATCCGTGTGTCCATGCCATTGCCGCAGCAAGGTTCCTAGCCCGCAAGGAAGGGAGAAATGCAGATGTAAGCATATATGGACTTTGCTCCGTCTTTTATTTGATTGATACTTGGGCATTGGCATATTACAGGACGTTGTTTGTAGTGCCACATGAGTCAGAATGGAATATTCCCGAGTCAGTTAAAGAGTTGGAGGCTGAGCCGCCGGATTACACTCCAAAAAAAGGACGCAATCAAGATAAACGGTTTCCATCTGTTGGAGAAAAACGGAGAAAGAGTAACAAAGCTGTTCCAGGAATTAACTTGGAGAGATGGCTACAGCCCGAGGATCCAGAAGCATCTTGATTAATTCCCTGGTTCAACCGGTACAACTGCTTTACCAATACGGTTCAACTGGAACAACTGGACCATTTGGGTTCAACTGGAACAACTGTGTAACCATTTGGGTTCAACCGGAACAACTTAAACAACTTTGTACTTGTATTTTTATTTGTAAGACTAATATCGCTTTGTAATATATGGATTATTATTTATAAGTTTGTAATATAAACTATTTTATTTCTTTACAATATTAGCAAGAATGGTTTCTGGGTTCAACCGATACAACTGGAAACAACTAAAACTACAAAAAAATACAAAATTACATAAATTAAAACATAATAAGTGATTAAAACATTTTTAAACTCTGTAAGTACATTTAATATATTTAATATATGTATTTAATATATGATATGTAACATTATAAATAATTAATGTGAGCAAAAACCAAAATTACACAAATCACTCTTTAGGTAACAAGGAACAATTAGTTCAAGATCATCTATAAAGATGGAAGAAGTATGGAAACTATGATTTCTGACAAATTATTCTATGAAAACTTCTTAAACACCAATATAATGTGGAAATTTATGTGAACAACTAGATATCTATGGTATTTTCTAAGGTTCAACTACAAAATTACAAATTTAGAAATAGTTCAACTGTGAGGAAATTAGGACAACTGAACATCTAAAGACAACTATGTAGAAAATCTATTTGTCGGGGGTCCCACAGAAATGTGTTCACACTAGTCTTTGACTAGTTTTTGACTCAAACCGGGCCCACCCCGTGATCTACTTTAATTCGAATCTTCTCATCCTAATAAGTCTACTCTCTCTCTCTCTCTCTCTCTCACATCTCGACTCCGATTCTTCTTCTTCTTCTTCTTTTCTCTCTTCTTCTTCTCTCTTCTTCACGAGACCACCAAAAATTAGGGTTTTCAGACTTCTTCAAATTTTGCGAAATCTGGGTACTTCTCTCACATATCTTCTTCTCTCTTCTTCTTCTGTTATTGTAAACGAGAAACCCAAAAATTAGGGTTTTCAGATCTATTCTTCTTCTTCCTTCTCTCGCCGTTATAAGGTATGGCAATTCTCTTAGACTACTTCAATTTAATAGATCTGCTTTCTACTAATTCGGATTACTATGATTTAATTGATTTATGTTTGATTGAATGGTCAGATCTACTCATCTTCTAAACCGTAGATATGCCTTATATTCCTAGGATGGAGACGAATATAAGGTTAATCGAGATCACCTAGTTCAGTGGTGGGATTGTGCGGTTACTGAGGAGCTGTCCAAGATAAACCTACGATTTGACGTTTTAACCTCTCTTGAATCTGCGAGGGCTGGATTTCCACCTGCTTTGGAGTCGATCCGAGAAACTCTTCGTCTTATGCGTGAAGAAATTGATGCCCTTAAAGCGAGGTTAGCCACAAAAGAAGTCGAGATTGCGAGGCTTAAGGGGTTACTTTCAAGTTGGTAATATTGTATGATTACCACCTAGTCTTTGTAATATTTGAATTTGTATTTTGGATATGTATTTGTGTTTTCATGAAGTCTTTTATTAGTAGTTGTACCTGCAGTAATGATAGTTGTACTTGGTTTAACCGGTACAACTCCGACTTATATGTATTTACTAAGTATTTTTAATAGTAGTTGTCCCTGGTTTATCATATAGTTGTCCCTGGATTTTTAGTAGTTGTCCCTGGATCAACTGGTCCAACTAATATTTAAAATTAATTTTAATAGTAGTTGTCCTTGATTTATCACATAGTTGTCCCTGTTTTATTAGTAGTTGTCCCTGGTTGATCACATAGTTGTCCCTGGATTAGTACCAGTTGTCCCTGGATTAGTTCCAGTTGAACCTGTTGTTCCAGGTTCATCACATAGTTGTCCCAGGATTACTAGTAGTTGTTCCTGTTGTCCTACTTGTGTTAGTAGTTGTCCCACGTTTGTTAGTAGTTGGACCAGATGCATAATTTTTTAAAATATAATGTCTGATTCATCATAAACCCCAAATACATAAAATGCACCTAAACCACAACACAACCAAAAGATAGTACAATGTTTTGAATCCTAATAGAAGATAACTGCAAAATACTCAGAAAATATAAGTTTTGTCCTACACAAAAGCAACCCATCATAAAGAGTGATCTCTCATAAAGATCACCTATTTCTTCTGCCGCTTCTTCCCCTTCCCCTTCCCCTCTGCTGTAAACTCTTCAGCCTGAAACCTGGAAGCCTTCCTTTGTCTCTTTTTCCCGGTCTGGATTGTAGGGCCACTATGCTTCGGCCTCACTGCTTTCTTCTTCTTGTTCTCCTTCTCTTTCCTAGCCAGCTGCTCCTGATCACCTTCATCACCTACACAACTCCAATGTTAGAACATGTATGTTACAATAAAAACTACAAAAATGTAAACTCACTCAATTCTTGAATTTGGATTGGCTTAGGGTCTGTGAAACCACTGTGAAGGACCAAAGCCTTTGTCGGACTCGCTATTGGTTGATTAGCAGTTGGTGTACAATAGGTTGGCACAAAATCACTTGAAGTCCCTGGATGATACTCATTGTACCGCTCTTTCCCTCGCTGGACTGACACATAACCCTCTAAGTCTTTCACTCTCCCATCCAGCATACTCACTTTGCTATCCATCTCAGACAACTTCTCCATGATCTTCGCAAATCCTTTGTCCACAGCTGACTGTAATGAGAGGATATCACCAAGCCTCTCAGGGACTTCACCATCACTTTCTTTAACATCACCAAGCCTCTCAGCCACTTCAGGGACAACATCACCAAAACCCCGAGCCTGCAAGTCCATCTGGTATAGACTTTTCCACCAGATTTTCTTCTTCTTTCTGATCAGCTGCTCTCTCCAACCTTCAACAACTGGATCAATAAATCCCATCCCTTCATCAACATCTTTCTCAACAAGGCCAGACAACATCTCTTTCTCATCCATATCAGGTTCCAAGATGCTTGAGATATCCTGTCAAAATACACATAGCATCAATCTCAATACATATGCATACTAAGAGAAGTAAAGGCACCAAAAGCTAACCTTAATTTCACCAAGGGCTTGGTTTATTTCATCCAAGGTAAAGCCCTTCATGCAACTGTCAGTGAATTTAGATTTGCACATTCTTGGACAGTCATTAGCTGCGGGAACAGCTTCTCTGAATCGCCTTCCAAGCTGTGGTATGCACTCAAATGCAAAAATCTACACATTCACAATAACACAGTTTTACTACTATAACTTAAACACTCTAACTCATTACAATATTCACAAGTTTTTACCTCAAGAGGAGTGATGAAACCAAAAAAGCTGCTCTGTGCTTTTGGTTTCACCGAACCTTTCATGTTTTTCATCATTCTCCGGATCCCTGTCATACATTGCTCAAAAGAATACCTTCCCCACGGGAATGTCTCACAAGCATGAACGTCATCAACAATCCTTAACAGGAATTTCTCTATGTTCCCATCACCCTTAGAATCAGCCTTCACAACCGCACATAAAAACAACAAAATAATCAACTTCTTCCTATCCAAACACTTCTCACTCTTAATAGCTGCCAACTTCTTTTCTACATCTTTGATTTTGATTAGGTCTGTCCTCCCAAACATCCTCCTGACAAACCTCAAACTACCCTTCTTCTCATGATTCTTTGGGTACTCATGGCAGTCCAACCCGGTCAACAAAGCATGCTCTTTCAAGGAGTACCTTATAGGCACTCCATTGACAACAAACCAACACTCATTCTCCATATCTGTGCGAGCAGTGCGAAGCATAAGCATCCACATGCCTTGAATCATGTGATTTGGTTCCTTAGGCATGTGGAATATATGCTTAAACTGATCATGATTCCTAAACCAACTAACTTCCTCATCAAATGCCTCTATATTGGCCACTGTTTGGCCAACTTTACACCTACTCCCTACCTTACATACCTTGTTGTACTCAGTTGGACTAAAGTACATGCTCTCTGGCGGCAGTGGTTGGGATTCCTCATCATCATCATCCTCATCTGTATCAGCTGCAACATCATTAACCCTCTCCTCTTCCTCTTCCTCAGCAGCAATATCATCAACTATATTCTGCATATTCAAACATATACAACTGAGTACAACTATGTCTGTTGCTTACCTTTAACACCATATACAACAAATACAAACTGTTACTTACCTTAACAACACCAGCAACATCTTCCTCCTCATTATCACCAGCAACATCTTCACCCTCAGCATCACTAACTCTCTCTTCTTCCTCGTTATCACAACCCTGACCATCAATTGACAACTCACAGACTTCTTTATCATGCTCACCGACTTCTTCTTCCTTTGACTCACTGGCTTCTTCTTTCTCTTCTTTATCAGACAATTCCGGAACCGAAGAAACTTCTAATTCTTCGGTGGTTACTTCTGCGGATTCCACTGTTGGAACAATTACAGCGGCATCCGTCGGTTCTTCTGTTGGAAGAACAGCGGCATCCATTGGAGCTTCTGTTGGAGAAGCGGCATCCGTCGGAGCATCTTTTGGAACTGCGGCGTCCGTCGAAGCTTCTGTTGGAACTGAAGCGTCCGTCGAAGCTTTTGTTGGATCCGGATTTGCAGCCCCTTCTGGAGACCCTTCTGTTGATTCATATACCCTGTTATCTCTACCTTTCACGCGAGCCATATAAGAACGAGACGAAGACACGCTGAACGGAGTCGGAGGAGACGAAAAGACAAACCACCGAGGAGGAGACGGAGGAGACGAATGACGGAGTACGAAGTTCCCACGCTAGAAGAAGACGGCGGAGACGACGATACGCCGGAGACAAAGAAAACGGATAAGAAGCGACGGAGATTCGCGACAGAGAGAACAGAGAGAACTCGGAGACGGCGGAGTAGTGAAAGAGATTTTTACGGTTTCAGTTTTACTTAGAGAAATTTTCAGAATTAGGGTAAATTTGGGGATTTTGTATGGGCCGGGTTATTTTCTTATGGGCTGGGTTCGGATTGTTTGGTTGGGTCGTAATTTACTTATTTTCGTCTGGGTTTTATGTAATTTACTCACTTTCTCGATTTAAAATTAATTCGATAATAAAAAGCAAACATAAGAGTGGCATAAGAGGTTACCGATTCTCGATTAGTGGCACAAGAGGTGAACTCTCTCACTAAAGCCACCTTCATCGCCAGAATCAGTTAAACATAATTGTTGTAGTCTTCCCAATTGTCATCATTTCCATCAGCATTCCCTTCTTCACTCAAAAACTGCTCAGGAGAAGGAGACTTGTATACCACATCCTGATCATCCATTGGCGCGTCGTAGCTGCAAGATCCATAAAATTAGTCAAATACAACAATACAGTGAGGGTTTAAGAACCAAAGGAGATCAATAAGAGAGCAAACATCACTCTTGGTTTGCCATTTGCTGGTCAATATTGTTGGGTAAGCTTCATGAAGATTCTAGAAGATATCCTTAAAGGAAATAGGAATCTAATTAGGAAAAGGAAAAGTTGTAATCCTAATCTAAAAAGGAAATTAGAATAGGAAATTCATAACTATATAAATAGAGATCATAAGAAGGATGTATGATCATAAGAGAGCGAAGAGAAAGCTTGTGTTTAGTTTTGAGAAGATTTTCTAAACATTAATAAAGGAAGGATTCTTTATACAAACTTTGGCTTTGAGCTTTTGATTCTTTATTTGGTATCAGAGCAAATCCTGAAGAGAAAAGGAACTCATACGAATCATGGCTGAAGTAAAACCTGAGATCAATACGCTGACTTCATCCTCCGGCGTTAAATGTCCGATGTTGAATACAACAAATTACGCCGTCTGGACATTGAGGATGAAGGCGACATTGAGAGTTCACAAAGCTTGGGTTGCAATTGATCCAGGAACAAATAATGAAGAGAAGAATGACGTTGCAACAGCCTTGTTGTACCAATCCATACCAGAGAGCCTTACCCTGCAAATCGGCGAGCAGGACTCACCAAAAGCGATATGGGAAGCAATAAAATCAAAAAATCAAGGTGTAGAACGCGTCAAGGAAGCTCGTCTCCAAACCCTAATGTCTGAATTTGATCGTCTGCAGATGAAAGATTCAGAGACCATCGATAGCTACTCAGGGAAATTATCAGAGATAGCATCGATAGCAGCCTCGCTAGGTCAACCTATTGATGCACCAAAGTTGGTGAAAAAGTTTCTAAACAGCCTACCCGCAAACAAGTTTATACACCTCATTGCTTCTCTTGAACAAGTCTTGGACCTAAATAAAACTAGTTTCGAAGACATAATTGGGAGATTTAAAGCTTTTGAGGCTCGTGTAAACGGGCAAGCTGCTGCACAAGAAACTCAGCAAAACCTCTTGTTCTCAAATACGGAAGGAGACAGCAGTAGAGGAAGAGGACGTGGCAGAGGCAGAGGACGTGGTCAGGGTAACAGAGGCAGAGGACGTGGAAGAGGGAGCTCACAAGACAGAGAACAAAAGGACAAATCTCAAATTATTTGTTTCCGGTGTGAGAAACCAGATCACTTCGCATCTGCTTGCCCGGTTAAGATTCCAAAGGACCAAGAGCTCAACAAAAACGAGACAGAAGAAGCAGATACAGCCTTGTATATGCACGAAATAGTTTACTTGAATGAGGAGAAGGTAATCCCGGAAAAGTTCGAGTCAAACAAAAGAGAAGATGGAATTTGGTATTTGGATAATGGTGCAAGCAACCATATGACAGGAGAGAAAGGATACTTTTCTGAGTTAAATGAGAACATCAAAGGAATGGTGAAGTTTGGTGATGGATCTTGTGTCAGTATTGGAGGAAAGGGATCAATTCTCTTTGAAGGAAAGAACGGTGAACAGAGAATACTAACAGACATCTACTAAATCCCAATGTTGAAAAGTAACATTCTTAGCTTAGGACAAGCTACAGAATACGGTTGTGATGTGAGAATGAAGGATGATTATCTCACCTTACGCGATCCTAATGGATGTTTGTTGGCAAAGGTAACACGTTCTCCAAACAGATTGTACAAGATCAGCCTAAAAATAGGCAAACCAACATGTTTACACTCAAGAATTGATGAAGAACCATGGAAGTGGCATGCGAGACTTGGCCATATCAGTTTTAAAACGCTGAACTCGATGTCTACACAAGAGATGGTACAAGGCATGCCTAAAATCACAAGTAAGAAATTGTTGTGTGAATCATGTTTGGTAGGGAAACAGACGAGACATTCGTTTCCAAATTCAACACAATATAGGTCTACACGAGCATTGGAATTACTACACGCAGATTTGTGTGGACCTATATCTCCAGCTACACTTGCTAGAAACCAATATATCTTTGTAATAGTGGATGATTACACTAGATATATGTGGACAATTTTGCTCAAAGAGAAGAGCCAAGCCTTTGAGAAGTTTCAAGCGTTTAAAGCTCTTGTCGAGAAGGAATGTGACAAGAAAATTGTAACTTTGCGCACAGACAGAGGCGGTGAGTTTACATCAAGAGATTTTCAAGATTACTGTAACACAAGTGGAATCAAAAGGCATCTTACAGCTCCCTATACTCCTCAACAAAATGGAGTAGTTGAGAGAAGAAATCGTACGTTAATGGAGATGACGCGGAGCATTCTTAAGGCAATGAATGTTCCAAATTACTTATGGGGAGAGGCTGTAAGACATTCAACATATTTGATCAATAGAGTTCCGACCCGAGCTCTAAAGAATCAAACACCGTATGAATGCCTAAGAGAAAGAAAGCCAAGTATCGAGCATCTTAGGATTTTTGGATGCATTGCTCATGCAAAGGTGGAAGCAGAGCACTTGAAAAAGCTTGATGATCGCTCACAAACGCTTGTTCATCTTGGAATAGAACCAGGAACGAAGGCATACCGACTTTACAACCCAACAACGAGAAGAGTGGTTGTTAGTCGTGATGTGGTTTTCAATGAGAAAGAGTCTTGGAATTGGAAGGGAGCAGGAAACGAAGAAGATCAACCAGGAATGTTTTGATTAACATGGGGAGCAGCTGTAGACAACGGACAAGGTCCATTCACGGACAATAGCTTGCAACCTGAAGTTGATCAAGAAGAAACAGAGGAAGAAGAAGTGCAGAATCACGACAATGGTGAAACAGAGATAGCACCACTGAGAAAATCAGGTCGACAACGTAATCTTCCAGGTTATCTCGCTGATTATGTACTTCTAGCTGATCTAGAATGTGAAATACTTCTCTTGTCACTCAATGACGAGCCACTAAATTACCAAGAAGCAAAAGAATCAGTCGAATGGACAAAGGCATGTCAAGAGGAAATCGACTCGATTAACAAAAACAAAACGTGGGATCTAGGTGAGAAACCACAAGGAGTAAAAGTGATTGGTCTTAAGTGGGTTTTCAAGATCAAAAGGAACGCTGATGGAACAATTAACAAGTTCAAGGCAGACTTGTTGCTAAAGGATATGCACAAAGAGAAGGGATTGATTTTGACGAAGTATTTGCACCAGTTGCAAGGTTAGAATCAATCAGAATGTTGATTGGATTGGCAGCTTCACATGGTTGGGAGATTCATCATCTCGATGTAAAGACCGCCTTTCTACATGGTGAACTAACGGAGGACGTTTACGTTTCACAACCTGATGGATTTGAAAAGAAGGGAGAAGAACATAAGGTTTTCAAACTCAAGAAAGCTCTTTATGGTCTACGTCAAGCTCCTCGCGCATGGAACACAAAACTTGACCAAATTCTAAAGACTTTGAAGTTTAAGAAGTGTCAAAAGGAAAGTTCCGTGTACCGCAAGGAAGAAGGAGCTAAGATTTTGATTGTAGCCGTATACGTTGATGATCTTTTTGTAACAGGAAGTACATTGGAACTCATCAAGGAGTTTAAAGCTGGAATGTCTTCAAAGTTCGAGATGTCTGACCTTGGGAAACTTACTTACTACCTTGGTATTGAAGTGAGTCAAGGAATCAACGGAATTGAAATCAAGCAAGAAGCCTATGCTCGTCGAATTCTTAAGGAAGCTGGTTTGGATGCTTGTAACCCGACACACATACCAATGGAGTTCGGTTTACAATTGTCAAAAGGATTGGATGAACCAGAGATCGACGCTACCATGTATCGAAGAAGGATTGGATGCTTGAGATATCTCTTACACTCTCGACCGGATCTTGCATTCTCAGTGGGGATTCTGAGCAAATACATGCATGATCCAAGAGAATCACACGGCAATGCTTTGAAACAAATCCTAAGGTATCTACAAGGAACGGTAAGCTATGGAATCACATACAAGAAAGGAGCACCAGACATTGTAGGCTATAGTGATAGTAGCCACAACACAGACCCTGACGACGGTAGAAGCACCACGGGACATGTGTTTTATATCGGAGAAGCTCCCATAACTTGGTGCTCGCAAAAACAAGAAACAGTGGCTTTGTCTTCATGTGAATCAGAGTTCATGGCAGCTACAGAAGCAGCTAAGCAAGCTATATGGATACAAGACTTGCTAAGTGAAATCACAGGGAAGAAGTATGAGAACACGATGATCCGCATTGACAACAAATCGGCTATCGAGCTCACCAAGAACCCTGTTTTTCACAAAAGGAGTAAACACATCCACAAACGTTTTCACTTCATCCGTGAATGTGTAGAGAATAAATTGATTGAAGTGGAGCATGTACCCGGAGAAGAACAGCGTGCAGACATTCTTACCAAAGCCTTGGCGAAAATCAAGTTTAAGAAGATGAGAGAAATGATCGGAGTTCAAGATCTCATGAAGAACAACTTGAAGCTTAAAGGGGTGAATGTTGGGTAAGCTTCATGAAGATTCTAGAAGATATCCTTAAAGGAAATAGGAATCTAATTAGGAAAAGGAAAAGTTGTAATCCTAATCTAAAAAGGAAATTAGAATAGGAAATTCATAACTATATAAATAGAGATCATAAGAAGGATGTATGATCATAAGAGAGCGAAGAGAAAGCTTGTGTTTAGTTTTGAGAAGATTTTCTAAACATTAATAAAGGAAGGATTCTTTATACAAACTTTGGCTTTGAGCTTTTGATTCTTTAAATATATTCTTCATAGCTAGGCCAACGACCACCTTCTTCATCGGAAGAGTAATCACCCGTATCCTCTTCAGAATCATATTCCGGTTCATCATCATCATAATCACCATGTCCCGTTTGTAGGCATCCAGCAGAAGGGCAAGTCCTCTGGTTCTTCTTCCATTCAATCCCACATTGGTAACAAAACTGATATCCGCATCTACACAATGCATGCACAAAGAAAACATTACGAAATGAAAGTATTCGAATGAAGTAGAATATTATTCGAGTTAAATAAATATATACCTGCAAGTCATGTGGTTGCAGCCATGAGAAAGTTCAATCATGTTCTTACACTTTACACACTGACGCCACTTTTTGTCCTTTGCCAGAGACTTTAGCTTCAAGTCATCAACTAGAGGGTCAGGGTGAAGTTTCTTGTAATCAGCACACGACATATCAGAATGGGATGGCACTTTGCAATCAATGCAGAAGAGTCCAGTGCATTTGACACATGTCCTAACATTGGATTGGTTTGACGTTTCATCGGTGGATTTAAAGAGCTCGGTTTTGGACATCAAGATTGAGCAATTTGGATATGGGCAATAGATTCTCTCCGCAACAGGGATCGAGTCTTCTTTCATTTTTTGTTTCCACATCTCAATCAGCTTTGGTGTCAAAACCTTGCTACAGCTTTCAAGGGTGAGCTCAGACTTGCATCCATAGTCAAGGCATGTGGGCACAGTTCCGCTAAGCAGCTTCACTTCCACATGTTGTTTCACACAAATAAAGCAATGACGGTGAAGGCATTGGTCGGTGGTAAACAACATGCGCTCGGCATCGGTTTCTTCAACACAAATGCCACAAATCTCTGCCTTCACATCGTCCCTTGAAACTATGGCTTCTCTTGCAAGTCTAAAAGCAAAGTTAACATCGTTCGGGGCGACCAAATCAACGTCATGAGAGGTCATATCTTCTAGAAGAAGTTGAAATTCGTCCACTAGATGGACAATCTTCTTCTTAACCTTCCCTCCACCAATAATCTGCAATGTAAATCAGAATTCACTCTCATTAAAACCAAGACATTATATCATCATTACAAAGAATTCAAAGTATATTCTAACATGCAATATCAACAATTTAGCCTCTGACTATTCCACGCTACAATAGTAGTCTAATTAATGATTCAGAATAACTAAACCAAGCACTAACAAAGAAGAGAAAACACTCATACCAAAAAAAAAAAGAAGAGAAAACACTTACATATTGGTAAATCTGTTGGTCATCGCAATAAACCATGACGTTTCGGATCCCAAAATCCAAGGATTCTCTTAACCCACGAATCAAGGCCTTGCTCTCTACTTCTAAGCAGCTTATCTCAGTGTCGCTAAGTGATTCCTTAATCTCATACAACAAATTATCCTTCTCATCGCAAATCGCAACTCCAAATCCAGCCTTCTTAGTCTTCTCCTTACCGTCCACCACTGTCTCTTCACTCACCAAACCCTTGATGTACAATCTGTAGACGACATTGTCCAAAAATTTTGCCACGGCAGAGTCAGATTGGACTACTGTAGAACCACCCTCGCCTTTAGGGTTTGTCGTAGAATCTAATCGCCTTTTTTTGTAACTCAAGTTTAGGTCGTGTCTCTCCATGTCTGTTTAGTGTTCAAATAGTTTTATTGGGAGAATCTGAAGACTTATATATAGAGGAAGAAGAGAGAGGGACTAAAGCGTGCTTGAGAAGTTGCCAAATAAATTCTAATTAATTGCTTTGAGCCTTTGATATAAAAGCACCTTAGTCTCCGGGGAAATCTTGTCTTCCGCCGGCTTTAGACTCTGGGGAAATCTTGTTTTCGGCCGGCTTATGCTTTGTAACACATGTATCCTTTCAAGTTATTATCAATAACATCAGATGACAAAAAAAAAAAAAAAGTAATTATTGTAACCGTTTTTGTTTGGGTGTCGATTGATTTTTCTATATACATTAGTTTCCATTAATATGCCATTTATGATACTTTTAAAGTAAACTTATCATTTGACGAATCCCACCTTGGTCAAACCCTAGCTACTCTAATCAACCTCCCAAGGCTAAGTCTAACCCTAAGTTTTTCTTTGATAACTATTGGCGAACTAACCGGGTGATCGAATAGTGTTGGTTAAATATTTTGCCGGTTTGCGTCCATGATTTGGTAGCATACCGAATTGGTTTAGTGAACCGGTTAATTTAGGCATGGGGAAGAGTGGTAATAAGCCACTTGGTTTTATGATGCAGCTGAGCTGATACATATCCTATCTAACTCTGATGGACTGGCACTTTAACCTTTTCTTCTCGAAATTCAGAAGCTATATTGTGTTGCCAAGGGGATTTACTTTTCTGAATTATGATCTTGTTCAAAGCAACGGATTGAAGCAAATAGATGACAATAAAAACCCAATAATGTGGTATTTATTTGGTTCGTTATGGTTACTACTTAATACTTAAATGGCTAAATCATGTCATTTTTATGTTAAAAAGAAACATATGACTGTAATGTGTACATGTCTCTGCCTTTTTATAAAGTAGTGATAATGTTAAGCATACGAAACGATTTTTAGTCTGAAATTTTCTCCAGCAATTTCTCTACCATGATCTTCTGCTGCGTCCCACTTAAAGTTTCAGAATTCATCAAAGCATTGGCGACGATAATCACTATACGAGGAGCAGCCGCATGCACCTGAAACCAGACAGAAGATATTAAAAAATGCGATTTCAGAAGTTATACATTGTTTGGAATCTTAAGAAGCAATCACTGTTTTTCTTACCCAACATCTCCCATTTAAGCCAAATGCAGTCTCAAACGAGAGTTTCTTCCCAAGAGCTTCAAGGACCGGGCAAGTTGGTGAACTCAACAACCTAATAAGAACAAAGTGTGTGAGAGAGAGAGTCAAGAAGAGGCGGCTTCATCTAGAAGAAAAATCTAGGAGTAAGACTGAAAACTCACATTCTTGATAAACCAGTTGAAGTTTCAAACATGAAACCATCTTTTAAGGGACCAAATACTGCAGCCTTTCCACTTTCTATTACATTGTCCAACAATCACTTGCTTAGTCTAAATATTAATGCAGAGAAACAAGGAAAAGATTAACTTTTTAAGCTTTGTGAGCACGGACTAACCGTCTACACAGGACAGCTCCGGGTTCATTCCTGTGTTTGTCTTCACAACCCGAGTATAAAGCAGAGTGCTTACCTGTTTCAATAAATTGTTAAAACTCCCAAAAACACGTTATACTTATATTATCACTTCATACGGCAAATCCACTTGAAATAGAGCTCAACTCCAGACGAAGTAAAAGTGTCTATTATGCCCATAAACAACCAATGAAGTAGTGAATCCTTTCAATATCACACACAAGCCATGGTAATTTCCAGGGGAATTCCCAATACACTGTAATAGCCATTATAACATCTCAAGCAAGCAACTGAATGCAGTTACCAGCTAGAGACTATTTTGATGATGGTTCAGAATGAACAAGTATATTCAGAAGGTACTTGCCTCAAACTTGGGATAATTTCTTTTGTTTGCTCCTTCAAATGCAAGCACAGGCAAAAGAGCCAGTTGTGGTCCTTTAATGTCTATCCAATAATTCTGCAATGAAACATGAGTCAAAACGAGTTTCAAAAGATTATGATCTACTTTGTCACATGCAACATGCTTAAACTTTGGCTGATAAGTCTAGGGGCAACACTCTAGATAAAGGCTAATGCAGTTTTCTTTATTTTCCAGCTTACTTGTTTTTTTCTGATCTAAACTTTATTTCCATGCTGTCAAGTGTTTATTAACATCTTACATGTAACTAACAAACAAGCTGAGCGATGATTGAAGTCTTTGGATAATGCTAGAGCGCAACAGAGGTCAACATTCTATATACATATGAACTGTATACAAGGGAATAAACGCAAGGGAAAAGGATCTCTAACAAAATTTAAGGATCGTCATTAGAGTACTTACTTCTCCCTTACAATCAACCACAATTCCAAGAACATGATCCTCAGGGCGAGGTATATACTGCAAAATAAAACCATATTAACAGAGTCAAAATCTGAGTTACATGGAATAATTCTTCAAACTAGAGTGCCAAACCACCACTTTTTCACAAGTTTGAGATGAACAATCGAATAAAACTAGTAGAACCAGTAGATATCAAGAAAAAGCTCCAAAAAAAGGTAGCAATTTATTGCGAAGACAATCATCGAGAAACTAAGTTCTCACCCTTTTATGGGAACTTTCCACCCAATACTTATTTGGCTTAGAGTACCTCAACTTGCCAGCTCTCATAGCAGATATCACATCATTATCCTGAAAAAACCACAAAATCATATGTCAATCTTATAGCCGAGCAAGCTCAACAAAAGTAAACTGTATACTCCAAATGCCAATGTCTAACAACGAGAAATACAATCATTCATTCATACACTCAAACACCAAAAATAAAAGTTGAAAGATTTGTAAGAAGTGTGATTTGAGAAAGTTAGAAACCTGACGGAGACCACTGCCGAGCTTGATGGTTTGGTTAGTCATGTTTGATAAATCAAGAACAACATCACCTGGAACCTGGATCCCATATCACAAAACTTAATCTTTCGATTTAATCTCAATTTAAAAAGATAATCAAAGAAGCAGAGATTTTAGTAGAAATTACGCACAACAGTCTGATCAATGAGGCTTGTCGGCGAGGTAGAAACTTCAGTACCCATATTTCTTGCTTCTTCGGTAACAAATAACAACACCACTGGATGGAGACAGAGCACGAGCAGAACTGAGAGATAGAGAGAAACAAGAACCCTAAAAAAATTCTAAAACCCTAAAGTTTATGGCTTTGGGTTGTTCAAGAATGAAGACGATCCATCGGAAGTTGAGAACCCCCGAACCAAGTTTTAGAATGGTTTGTTTCGGTTTAGTTCGGTTAACTATAAAAGTTTCGGTTTATCATCGATGGTTTCTGATGGACCATGAGTGACGATAGATGGTAGGTGTTTTTGGTTAACAAGAAACATGACACTAATGGTTTCACGGGTTAAGATCTGATGTAGACATGAGTGTGTATTTAGATTAATTAATTACATTAAGATTTAAGAAGAATCTGAATCACAAATTCACAATAATGGATTACATCACTAACCAACTTTCTTCTCTATACAAAACCACCATTATTTCCATCTAAATGGGTTTTGAGTTTACTCTATACATATACAATACCCTATCTATATTCTATCTTTCTCTTCACCTTTCATGTTTTTCGTTTTCATCTTTTAGAGAGCTTGTAACCCGCATTGCGGAACTCACATGTTTTTTCATGTTGATATTCTCCGCATATATATCTGCCATTATCTTCCTCAGTTCATCCTCAGAAGCAGTCTCATCAAACCCTAAAAGCAGTTGGACCTGAAAATATGCCACATTCAAATTTAAAATGAGGAATCTAGCTTGGCGATTTTGAGCCATGGTTATCATATTAACATTTGAATATGATTTTTCTTGCTATAGATTAAAGTAGATGTACCAATTAATATCTTACCTCAATCTGACCTTGCAAGGCATTTGATACTTCAGATAAGTCCTCTCTCAAGTTACACTGCTCACCCATTGACAAGTTTGTGTTGTTGACTTTAAGCCTGTCATGGAGAATTTTGCAGTCACTAACCAACTTTTTTCTTGCTTCTAGCTTGTTCTCGACTATTTTCCTTTCCTGTTGGAGGAGTTTCTGGAAAATTAAACATGTTTCAGTATGTTTTCATGTTCTTTCTATAGTATCATATTACATATACCACAACCGCATGATGCAACCAATAATGTAATGCTTTTCATTTTCAAGCTAAAGATTTACCTCAGTGTCTGACTTCTCTGTCAGAGATCGAGACAGCTCCTTTTCTAGCTCCATATGTGAAAGTCTCAGGGATTTGACCTCTCTGACAAGCACCTTTATGTCTGCCTTTGATTTTGACTCCAGTTCAACATACCGTCTAGAAAGATCTTCCAGTTGCTGTTTTGTGGCATCCATTTCTTGTAACAGCTCATGGCTCTCATCGATTGTTGAGTTTCCTGAAGACTTAGCATGTGAGCTCCCATCCTGTATTAGTTTGCAGATGTCAGCAAGCTACTTTGCTAGAGAGAAATTACTCGCTCGATGTGAACTTGCTTATTTGTGGAAAGAATGTGATTGAGATGGAACTATATCAAATTTCATTACCGCTTTTGACTTTAACTTCAGTTCCATCTCAAAAGTTTTTTGCCTGAGTTCTTCTATATCCCACTGCATATGGGTAACACTCTGCCTCTCAGTCATCAAAGCTTGCTCCAAATTCTCTTTGTTTCTCTGTTTAGTAATTTCAAGTTCCACTTCCAGATCATCAACCTGAGCAGGAAAATCAAGATTACATATATAACATTCTCACGAAGAGAAAAAGAAGAAGCACAGATTTCGGTACCAACAAACTTGAAAACAGAATGTACTGTTACTCTCTTTCATGTACCTTTCTGTTCAGATATTCCTTCACCGCTGTCTCTTGATTTAGTCTCGCTATAAGATCCTCCATGTCTGTTTTTGAATTGAGAAGTCTCTCATTCATAGTTAATAGAATCCTATTTAATTTATTATGCATTTTCAACGGGAGAACTATTCGTCCACTACCCGGCATCTCCAGGTTACCAACAGATATACAATGATGTACATCCAGCTGGATATCTGCAATGGAGCTCAAGATTGCAGAGATTGATGTCTCACCGGCTAGTGATGGAAACCCGTTAGCGCTCTCAGCAGAAAGCTTTCTATCATGCATCACTGATTGACTTGTTTCTGATTCAGAGAGACGTCGTAAGTCGTCGTTTGCTCGAAATACACCTTTAGAAGCTTTTCCATTGTACAAATTTGCCTCTGTGATATCATTGGCATATCCTAAGTGGACTGTGTGCTTAGGAAAATCATCTAGCTGCTCGATAATAGTTTGGCTCATACTCAGTCCCTTGTCAATGTTGGACATGGTAAACTTGACGAGCTTCTCTGTTGGATTTGTCAGATCTTCATCCAAAGTTAGATCTCCAGTACCAGTTTCAGAAACATCATCCTGACCTAAACTTGCTGATCCAAGCTCAGATGTTTCATAAGCAGTATCGCTGCTATAGTCAGATGAGAGCAAAGAACTGCCACCAGAATGTAAAAAGCTCAAATTTGGGTGAACCAGAGACGATAAGCTTGTGATATTTCCATCATCACTGGAATCAGAAGCATTCTGATCTACAACTTGGCATGCTGGAAAAACAAAACATCAATATTAGATTCTAGTGATGGACTAACCAAAGTTACTTAAGCATAGAATTACTAACTGCCTTCCAGATATTCACACTATCTAATGGGCTCATACCAGACCTAGCAGTAGCTTCTAGTTCGAGGAAGGATGCAACTACAACACTTCTAGCCAATTCTATATTAGATAATAGCTTCGTCATCCAGTCCTCCAGAGAGTACCTTCTCTGCAACAAGATCACAACTTTTAAATAACCTATTGCTTGTTTTCATGAATGAGTGTAATATAACTCTTGATTACTAAAATTTACGTATACTTCTACCCCTGAGTCTACAAGAAATCTGTGTCAAATTCTTGATTGACGAAACTCGAAACCCCAAAACCAGGAAAGCACAAAAGATAGGAATTTTGTAAAGAACAGCAACTCAATTCACAAATATCCACAAGAGAATGCATACCTCTTCCAACATTTCTCTGCTTTTGACACGCAGAATTCCTCTAGGAGGAGCTGATGGAAAACTTTGCTTAGGAAATGCTCTTTTGAGCTGTAAATCATATGCCATAAAACACAGTGCAATTAACTTGTTTGAATCACACACTGAGAAAAAAAAAAAACTACAAATCATGTTGAACATCACTGAGTTGAATAAGCTTGAGAATCTTACATCTGCTAAAAGCTTTAGAAAATCATTAAATCTCTTCAGAATTCCTCGCGTTGTAGTAACACCTTCTAGAGATTGCACACTTACCTGAACCCTGTAAAACTGTACCTCAAGAATGTCACATATATTGAGCGAATTCCTACGAATAATTCATGAAAATACACAACTTAAGATATATTCAAGGGCATGTTGATCTATAACAACAAATAGCCAATATTCAACTAAACTGCAATAAGAACAACAACTAGCTATTGAAAAATATAAACTGTAGAAAGAGATTCAACTTATTTACCACTACAGGATCTGAATTTTTCGAATTTGCAAGAAGTGTCCATGATGGTACTGTGACACAATAACTCCATCCAGTTCGAAAATCATGAGGCCAAACTGTATCTCTACCATTCTGCACAAAACAACACAAAACTTCTCTATTTTGAGTAGTCCCTTAAAACTCTTACCTCACAATTTCCCTAATCTCAAATTGTGATAGCAAAACCATAACAGAGAAAGAAGCTAACAAAGCATCTCACAGAAAGAGAAAATCGTTGAGTTCTCGGAAACTGTAGAAACTCACCCAATTACGCGGCGGAGGACTCCAGTCCATTCCCAGTCGAAGCGGCGATGTTCCATCGTGTCTATGTTTCGGTGGACTCTGTCTTTGCATAATCTCATCCAAATCTGATCTTCCGATCACATCCAAATCGGAGACGAGATCGAGTTTCCAATTTACCGATCCAAAAAACAAACTACTAGAATTTGGGGAAGGGAGATGGTAAATAACAAATACTTTTTTTTTTTAATTAAAATTTCCCAATTTGTTGTTTTGTTTACTTAACAACTTTAAACAAGGTCTGGACATTCGGGTATCCGGATCCGATCAGATCGGTTCTTTCGGGTTTTGGGTACATTCGGGTAGAGTGTTCTAGGCCCATTCAAGTATTTTAAAATTTTAGTTCGGGTTCGGTTTAGGTTCGGATATTTAGTTTGAGAACCGAAAATATCTGAAATATTTTCGGGTTCGGTTAGGATTCGGGTTTTTATCTATACTAGGATTCAACCCGCGGTACTCCGCGGGTATCGGTTTTATTCGGTTTTCCTATTAAGTATTTGATAATTTATAATTTATAATTATAACATATGTTTTTTTGGTGGTTGTTAAATTTTCAAAAAAGGAGAATGTGTTTTAATGTGGTTAAACATGTGTATTATTTAATATATTTGTATCAAAATTTAATATAGTTAAAGTATTATAATTTTCAGGTGTCTAACAGTAATTTTTATCTTCTAGAGAATATTGTGATCTTATATAATTTAATATAAGCTAATTAACCTGTGTATATAACACGTCAAATAAAATACAGATTAAAATTTAAAGTTGTTTCTTTTACAACTTCAAATGTAAAAAGAATAATTGTTTCTATTATATTTAAACCTTTAGCATATTGCTAAAAAACATAAAGTTTTAAGTAGAGACAAAATCAAAATTAAAGGAAATATTAAAAATTGAAACCCTAACTCCAGTCGGATATCCTCTTTGACTTATCATTCACCCCGCCATTGTTGTCCACTCATAGACCTTATATGAAAAAAAAAAAAAAATTGGAATGTGTTTGACATATAAATTGAAGATGATAGAATTGGAATAGATTTAATAAAACACAATTGAAAAGAAAATTAATACAAAAAATAAAATACGATTGGTTCTCCGACGATCTATATTATGCCTACATTTTGTTATATTTTCCTTGGATGTGTCCATATCAAAAGGGTATCAACATCCAAACCTAAGACTTGATGATAATCAAACCTAGTATCTAAAACCAAGCACTGAATCAATAATTTAAACAGTAGAGTCAAAACATATTTCAGAAGAATAGAAATAAAAAATCATAGAAATCATATTCTTTATATCATATTCTAATATAAAGAATATGTATTGAAAGAAAATGAATTATTTCCATTTTTTGAGAAGAGCAGAGAAAACTTTATATTTGCAGTGAAATTTTGAACGATATGAGAATAACACAATCAGAGTACTATATTTATAGTGTTAAGAGAGTCGGCTATAATTTTAGGGTTAATCAAATATAATCTTATATAATAAATTATCGAATCAAATCTAAAAGATTACAATCTTTTTTGGTAAGATCACATTTGGATAGTATTTATAATATATGTACATATTTATAATATTAAATCGACATTAAAACACAAATGTAGGAAACTATTTAGATTTGTATAGAGATTTCTTAAACTAATTAGATTGATTAGAGTATAAATTTTTATTAATATCTAATCTCGTTTTTGAAAAGTGTTTAAATATATTTCCTTATTTTTTGGAAAATTTTGGAAAGTTAATAACAAAAATACAAAATTGAATCTTGAGAATATTTATAAGATTATTTATATATTTGTATCTACGTATATTTTAAATTTATTGTTAAGATTTGAAAAAAGATTTTATTAATAACTAATAAACATACATTATGAATTTAATTTGTTATATAACAAATAATAGAAAAAAAAGAATAAATGGAAATTTAGAACATCATCATTTTAAACTAAATAAATAGCTTAACCCGCTGTGGTTTATAAATCATACATTGAAGGTATCACCAACAATATGTCGTAGTCTGTTGGTTTGATAGCGTTTCGTTTGCCTGTAGGTCTCGAGTTCGAAACATAAGTTTAACAAAACGTTTTTTTTTTTAATAGCGGGTAAATGACGAAATTACCCTCATCTTCTTCCTTCAGATTTTAGAACTCGATTTCTGCAAAACCAAAAATCTTGCCATTGATATTCATCAGTTTTTCTTGTTTTCTCTTTTTTTCTACACGAAATATGCTAGATTCAAAGAAGTACTTATTGATTTCTAAGTTAGCAACGGAAGAAATGAATTTTTTTTTTTTTAGATTCTGATTTTAGTTCTACGTGAACATCTCTTTCATATTTATATTTATATGATTCGTTTAATTAAAGCACGCGAATCGTAATGACCAGATCTGTTTTCTTTTACTGATTGAAGAACCAATGACCCAAAAAAAAACCAATCGATATGTTTTTCACAAATACATATTATTTCACAATATTGAAGAGATTTGCTTGAACGCCATTAACAGAGCAGTTTCGTTGAAGTCGTCGTTGATTAGCCGTTTTCCATGAATGCCCATCACAAGAGAAGTCGCAAAGAAACAGAGTATCAACAGTAACAGGGACAACCATTTCTGCTTCATTTGGCACACCAAGTGTTCGATTAAATTCCTTTATAGAGGTTGAAACTCCAAGCTTTGAATTTCTGTGCTTGAATTGAATTTCTCAAAGGAGTAAGAATCTTCTTTTACGGACATGAAGGAAAAGAAGATTATCTCTGAGATAAACAAAGAACAAAAAAAAATCGATGACCCGTTTGAAGAAGCATTGACCCACAAATTCGATTACCCGTTTTTGCAAATATTTGATCCAATACCCACCCATATACTAAACACGCGGATCTTAAGTGTTTAATGAGATTTCTTGACCAATTTAACCTTTCCAATTTCATAAAACACACTACAAAATCTAAAATTGAAATTGAAATTGATGGCAAATTAGACCATTTTTCAATTTGTACTTCCCTTTTAATAATAAGGGGATATACCCAAATCTAGCCGAAATACCTGATTACCCAAAAATATATTGGTTACTTTTTATTCATACAATTTTATCCCCATTATATAGTCTAGAGAGGGAATAACCGTTTTCTCTCTCGCCCAGCCCCAAACCGTTTCATCCAAGCCTCCGGTTTTTGCACCGTTTCTGGCCGGCGTCGGCTTCTCCGACGTCGGCCTATGTCATTTGCTTTCTCTGATTTCAATTCTTGTATAGATTTAGGCATAAAAATCACCGGCCAATGATTATCAAGACAATTGGGTTGGTTTTCTTCTTCCAAAATTTCATCAACTTTCTCTCTTTTTGTGAGAGTTTCATTCCGACCAGAATCCGATATGGATCTCGGAGCAATGTCGGCGCATTTCCGCTGAGGATCTGTCCAAGCGGCTTTCTTCGGTTCATGATTGAAACCGTTCCTCATCACTACCATGGAATCGTTAAATCTGATGAACAAGTTGTTACATCGAAATACGACTTTCAATCTAAGATCTGGGATCCGGGCGCTTTCAATTCCAAAATTGAAGATAATGGGATTATTTGGGCAGATCTCATCTCTAACAACCGTGCTCTGTTTTCCTCGGCGTTGAAGGCTGTGATTCTCTCACTCAAAGTATCGAAACAATCCGATGATGCCTTTTCCTTTCTCTGGTCGAAAATTTCCGATATACCGATTGATCTTTTGGGTTCTGGGAATTTGTTATTTGGTTGCAAAATTAGAGAGTTGACATTTCCCGATGATGATAACGACGACCACTTCCCTTGGTCAGAAATCTCCTCTTCGCTCGAAATTGTTCAATGTTTTTTACAATCTCAAGAAGACTTTGCTCATCCAGTTCATCATTCATTTAAACAACGACATAAACTAGTTGGTTCAAATGATGGTTTCTTTCTTCTTGTTCGAGCAAACCAACGTCACGTGATGAGACTTTGTTTCATTCCCAGGTGCTTTCACATTGCTTATTCTAATAAGCTTTATAGACTCTTGGTATGTTATCAAGTTTTTACTACGTTAGAAATACTTGAAAGTATTTCGTGGTGGCATTGGAAACTTGTTTTATGGCAGAAACAATGGATTGGAAGACAATGGAGACTTTCCCAAGAACACAGAAATTATTTGCCGGAATCATCAAGTATATTGTTTTCAAGAAGACGACAAAATTCAGAATCATCTCCAACGACATTAGATTTATTTTTCCTCGTTAAAGTAATGCCATTGGCATTTTGGAGTTTCAGCAGCAAGCTGATAGCCATTCCAAAGTATGTGAAGGGGGGACTTAACAGATTACATATGTTGCCTGTAAGACTACCTAATAGCCGGGTTACTTCCACTCTTTCATCGAAATTGTATCAATTTCCTGTATTTGCGTACATCGGTCGTATTGGAATGTTTTTGTTTTTTGTAAACACTTTTTGATATCAATATAATTGATTTGACGAAAAAAAAAAAAAAATAACTTAATTTATCCAAAAATATCCAAATTACCCGAAAAAAAAAACTAAAATATTGGTTATTTTTTACCCAAATGTATCCGAGTTACTCAAAAACATCTAATATATTCGGGTATATAATTGTAAGTTTGAGTAAATAGGTATAATAAGTATAAATAAAAACAATATTTTTAGGTGTATAATTGTATTCGGGTATCTACGAGTATTAGATTCGGTTCGAATTTAATTCGATTTTTTTGGATAGAAAAGTTTAAGATCTATTCAGATATTTTTATAAATCGGTTCAGCTTCAATTCATATATTTTTTCGGGTTTTTGTTTCGGGTATTTCGGTTCCGAGTATTTTTCCCAAGACTACTTTAAACTATAAAATAGTCAACATTAGTTAGCAACAATTTTGGACTCGGAGTTTTTTTCAATGGTCTTCCTCAGTTAAAGCTACCAGTAGCTAGTTGTGGTAGCACATGTATCCAACTTAATCATCGCCACAATTTCATGTTTTGGACTGGTTCATTTTATATTATATATATATATATATATATATATATATATATATATATATATATATATATATATATAATAGACGCCATCTTGAAGTCAAATAGTAATCAGAAACATAATCTAAAATTTAATTATGTGGTTGTGAATTTGTGATAATATATTAGCTTTGATTGGTTACATGAAATGGAAGTAGTAATGATTGTAATGCCTCTAAAGTAACCAATCACATGAATTATACAAAAGTGTGCATTACAAAATATAGACATTACATTTGTTTCTATGAAAATAGAGTAGTAAATGTAAAGGTACTATAATTAGATTGTACAAAATGAAGTGGCAGTACAAAATTGTGAAGCAGTGTTTTAAATGTTTTTCTTTTTCTGAATTATTATTGTTTGCTATAAATTATTTTTTAGTTTCTTCAATCATATAAACAATATTTCATCTCGATCTTTTTTTCTGCAAACAATCTTGTATTTCATTCATTTTAGCCCCATAGGAGCAAAGTTTACAAGATCTTCAACCAAGAGGTAACTGATAAGCCATAGAGAATCGGAGACATAAGCTATCAAACAACATTCCACAAACGAACTTATGGTGTGTCAAAGACACATCCGCGATCAAATCAAGGAGTTTTGTAATAGTCACTATCCAGAGATATGATGGTGTTGATAAAGTGTTCTTTACCTCTTGGTTTGCCGGAACAAAACACAAAGACAATCTTTTTCTGATTAGTTTTTGGTAAAAAATATGCTTGAAATTTGGAATATTTTCTTGTAGTGGAAGCGGTTAAGTCCCAAGCCACTTTGGCCTACCTTAACGCATTTCAGACTAGTTAAAACCTAACCCGGATAATTCTAGATGAACGCAAAAACATGCAGTCATTCCAACAATTATATTTGGGTTCATATAAGAAAATTTCTATTTTTATGGTTCGTGACAACTTCACCTTAAATTTTTAAAGCCTCTATGTGAATTAGACCAATGTAACCTCGGTGCCTTTTGCCTTTTGGTTCGCCATTGGTGTCTTAAGTCTCTTGTATGGTTTTCCTTTGAGTTAAAGTTCATGTGTGTATATTTCCTATCATTTTTATTTATTTATTTTTTCAATTTGTTGTTATTATATTTACATTATTAGCTTGTTCTAAAATAATATTCATATGATAAATCGTATATTTTTTCATAAATTTCCATCTTTTTTTTCCAATTTAATTTAAAAACACAGTACTGCTTTTGTATTAGTAAGTTTTGTTAATATTTATATATTTTTAGCATTTAATTTTTGAATGATAAAAATAAGTAGTATATGGAAATAAAAGTGTTTGGCAAGAAAAATGATAGAATTAAATAAATAAAGAATAAAAAGATGAGATTAATTGTTTGACACATAAGCACCAAAGACTCTCTTTTAATATATAGAGGATGCATTACAATATTTGAATATATATTTTAAACTCGATAACAATAATAATGGTTACGCCAGAAACCCACATAAAATATTACTTTATTTTGTCATAAGACTTTATTTTGTCATAAGACTTCTAATCGTAAATATGATATGAGATTTATTGTAAATAAATAATTATTAAGGGCAATCATAACCACACAGACAAATAATTCGTCCCTGAGATGATTTAATGCATCTACCATGTCCTTTTGGATTTTTCTTCAAACACATCGACCGGCACTCATCGTGAACACAATTGTTTTCTTTTAGAGTCGCCCAACATCTTTTTTGGTCAACACTCATATTTCCCACCACTCCTGTCATATGTTTAAAACATAATAGCTTAGTCTCTATATATAAATAAGAAAATACTACTTTTTCAAAAAAATTCAAGAAGATATATATTTCTATGGATATTGAAAATATTATTAACAAATTTAAAACATTAATTAAATAGATTTTTCCTAAAAGACATGCAATAGTAACTGAATTTATAATTATATTGATAGAATATAAAAGTATTATATCAATTTCCATACAAAACTATATAACATCAATAGTTATGAAACAAAAACCTGTATTTTGAAACATTTATATATGCAGCGCGGAAAAAGAAGAATTGGCTATGAACAAACTAAGAATCAATAGAAGTATGTTTAATCAATTCATGTCACAATAGTTCCTTATAATATATTAAGAGTTAAGACCATATAACTTGAATCAAGGAATTCTGAAAATATTAATTATTGGGATCAGTTTGTTAGGGATAGCTATGGTATGTATTGAGACATAGAAAAAGCTAAACGTGATACTATGACAATCTATGTTGAACAAAGATTTGACACAAATTTATATAGCATCGGTGAGTTGATAATGATATATTAAAATTTAATATGGTGTTTAAACTTATTTTTGGTCAACTTGGTTTTATAAACTAGAATTTCTAGAGGAACAATAGACATGAGAGTTTCTTCTTGTGCCTCTGTTTCGGAAGTGCTTGACAATCACAGGCGACGAAATCATTGCGTGAGTATACTCAATCTGATAGAGGATCAGATTGACCAAGTTCGACTGTATAGAAAGGAAGAAGTTGATCGTTCTCTTTGGAAATTTTAAAGAAGATGGCTTCAAGAATATGATTTCCTCAAAACACTTGGAATCTGATTCGAGAACATAAACCGATCAGCGACTGGCACAAAGCAGTATGGTTCTCATTCTCTACTCCACGTCACTTTTTATCACTTGGTTAGCTTACCATGGTCGTTTAGCAATGGGCGACAAACTTAGGAGCTGGGACATAGCGGCTCGAGTAAGTTGTGTGTTTTGTTGAGAAACATTGGAGACAAGAGATCATCTTTTTTTCTCTTGCCCCTTCTTATCTCAAGTGTGGTCATCTCTCACAAGAGGTATCCTTCAGCACCATTATGTAGCAAGTTGGAGCATGGTCTCCTCTCTTTTGCTCGACACTTCTCAGCCTAAGTTATATACTTTCACGTTTAGGTATGTCTTTCCAATTAACAATTCATACGTTGTGGAGAGAGCGCAATGGAAGGCGTCACGGTGAGACTCCTACACTATCTACTAAGCTCGCAAAACTCATTGACAAGAGTGTAAGAAATCGTTTTAGCTCCATTCAAAGATCGGGAACAAATGCGTACGAAGGGGGCTACAATACTAGTTTAGCACTCGTATCGTTGAAATCCTATTCTCTGTTTTCAGGTTTTAAAATTTCCAGCTGGTTTTAAATTTCAAACAATCAAATCTTGAAGTTGCATTCATTGTACAAACGTCTTTTTTTGGTGAATAAATTTTACATTCATTCAAAAAAAAAAAAAAAAAACTAGAATTTCTACAATGATTATGCGTGATATGATAAAACAGTTCGAAATGTAAAGACATACCTAGCACAAAAACGGTGAAGATAATCAGAATGACGAACGAGGGTTGAAAGTGTTTTTTCATCGTAGATGATAGAAATAAATTAGTAGTGTTTTAAAAATTGAAAATAGATAATAAAAAATAATGTAGCTATATATATAATAATGTAGCTATATATAATAACGTAGATGTAACTCCTATTTAAGCATATCTAATTTAAGCTATTACCACCACATATTCCGATTAGAAGGATTTCATTTTACCCACAAATTCAGTTATTTTTTTGCTTATATGACATGTGAAAGCCGTAGACTCGCACAATTTTTTTTGCTTTACCACATGACCATGATTTTCCAATTTAAATACAAATGATGAAAATTCAGAAAAGACCTAATCAAATTGATCCTTATTTTTCTTGTCAATTCATTTGTTTATATATAGACATCTCCGACTTGATTCTCTTTTTTAGACCTCATGTTCCTAATCCAATGCTAGACTTTGTTCCTTTGTCTTTGTGCGAGACAGTTGGTCAGCATGAGTAGTAGTAATACTTAAGATCCTTACTATATCTTCCAAATAATATGTGCTAGGGTTTCGAACATCAATCTTATAAGACTTTTCTATAGTCACCTTGAAGAAAGTGCAATCTACAATTAGTTTTATACAAATGCAAGTGCAATAATTAGTTTTGGAAAAATCTTGTCCTAAATTGTCTGTAAACTTTTAACTTTTTGAAGAAAAATTAATATTTAATTTTTAATTCCTAGTCACTCGAAACTAACAATTTCTCCCTCGGGTCGGGTGGAACACGAGATCCGACACCAACAATTGTAACATTTTTTTGTTTTTTTTGATTATTGTTGTAACCTTTGATATATTTGATGAACCGTTGCAATTATTAGTATATATGATGAATTGTTGCAAATTTTAGTATATTTGATGAACTGTTGCAACATATTTTTCTGGGAAATAATTAAAGATAAATAAAAACAAAGAAAAATTACTAAGCAAATATATTTTTGGAGAGAACACAAATTCATCAAAATAATAAAAATAAGCGTTTTTGTTTTTGTGAGATTATGTTGGTTCATAGTAACCATCATCTCTCTAATTTATGGAATCTCTTTTAAACACTAGGTTTGAGATCGAGGAGCTATTGGCAGATTTTATTATCATCTCCGATAATAATAGTAGTCTCTTTCATACAAAAAAAAATAATAGTAGTCTCAACAAATAGCTTTAAAGATTGTATTTTTTTCTAACTATATATTTTTGTTTAATATATTTATAATCGCTTAAAACTTTTTTTTATAAAATATCACTTTCTTTTTAATATGACTGTTCATTTTATCATTTTTATTTATGAGTTTGTCTCTTTACCATAATTTTATTATGATAACTTTTACTATGCTCGTTTTTTCCATCTCTCTGTTTTTTCCATAATTTTATTATGATAATTTTACTATGCTCGTTGTATATTACTGCGTTCATTTACCATTCATGTATTGTTAATTTGCTAAAGAAATAGTATTTCAGTTATACATAATAATTGTTTGAAAGTATTTAAAAATTTCGTAAAAATATATTATTTTAAGAATGATTTTTTTTATAACATTTCTTTGAAAATGAGTTCCTCCGAAACATCGTGGGGGTTCATATATAACCTAGTTATGATGTAGATAATTTCTGCTTATCTTTTCTTTGGTGACACATCTTATTTGATAAAGTCTTATGCTGTTTTTATTTTTGCAGGTTAGTTAGTTGGGGCTTTGTAAGATTGTATTCTCCATATAAATAAATATTAGATGGCAGAAAAAAAAGTTTGTATATATATGTTCGGAATGATTTTTAATTTATCACAGACGGTTAAATTTATTATTTGAAAAAATGGTGTAAGCTTTTGAGTAATAGTAGAGCAGATATGGTAGACGAAACTATCCATAAAGAGGTGTTCATAGAATCATATACCAGCCTTCTCTTAAGAAAATGTGTTTGTTTCGAGCTGGATTGAAGCAGTTTAAACGTGACGAGGTCACTTGTCGTATTCTAATTTATAAGTAAAAATTACTTTCCAATAATAATTTAATGCTGGAGATTTTTTTCGATATTTGGTATAGTCCAGTTGGTCAAATTTTGGCCTAATATGTAACCTTTCTTAGTAAAGTTTACTTTTACCATTTAAACAAGTTTTGCAAATAAGATTATTCATGTATAGAAAATACATTGAACAACAAACTATTACCGAATCTATGTTGACTATATATTATCTTATCCCGAAAGATATACCACAACAGATCACAAAAGCTTTTGTTTCCGAACTATTTGAAAAAGTATGTGATTTTTTATCCACGAGTAGATGATAATGTATGAATGTATTTTCTCACTACTATCGCCGTCGTTTCACCAATAAATTTTAATTTTCATATGAATGCGACTTTGATTTTCAGTTTTGCACTACTGTCGCCGTTGCTTCACCACAAATTTCTAATTTTCAAGTGAATATGATTGGGGTTTCCAGTTTCGCCGTCGTTTTACTATAAATTTTTAATTTTCAACGAACGTGATTGTGATTTCAGTTTTGTACTAGTGTCGCCGTCGTTTTACCAAAAAACTAGCTGTGGACCCACAGTATACCGTATAGTTTTAGTTTTCAGCGAGCGTGATTGTGATTTTTAGTTTTCCATTAGTGTTGCCGTCGTTTTACCATAAAATTTAATTTTCAAGTGAACGCTTGTTGTGATGAAAACGATAAAATAATACTATATGCTTACTTTATTATACATGGGTAGCTGATAATATATGATTGTGATTTTCAGATTGCATTAGCTAGTGTCCGTCGTTTCACCTTAAACAATTTATTTTTCAGGCGAACACCTATTAATGAAAAAGCTTTAAATAATTTTATATGAGCATTTAAACCCAAATCATTTGGGGATTATGCTATTTTCTTTTTGGAAAAGCTTGTTGGAATTGATTTTGTCCTTACATATTTTTATAGACTAACTGTCACCAATTATTTATATACTTCCTCCGTTCCAAGCTATATGTAGTTTAAAGTTTTTTTTACACAGATTAAGAAAATAGATAAATTTTCTATTTTTTCTTTTTATTAATATATTTTATGGTTTTTTCTCATTGGTCATGAAAGTAAAATATTAGGGGTAAAGCTGACATTTCAACCAAATATGTGCATTGAAATCCTAAAAATATGTTTTTTATGAAACAAAATTTAAGTGCTAAACCTATATTGAAATTGAAAGAGAGGGAGTATGTTGCTTCCGATATTGATTGCAGTGAAACAATCATAATTTTAATAATCATTTATGTACTATATTTATAATGTTGTCTTCTTTTCTTTTTCTTGGTTCTGTTCCGGAAACAAACACCAACAGATTCTCCTCGATGTTGACGCACAACACAATGATGGTTATTTACATTGGGACTCCAATTGCGACCATAGCGATTCTAATCGCTCTTTTATGGATTTCCAGAATATTGTGTGGCAAAAACTCCAACACCAGTTCAACCGGTAAGTCTAATCTTGAAATTATAACCACACTTTAGTGTTTACATTTGATGTAATAAAAAAGACAAAAATGCTTTTTTTAAGTCTTTTAAATGTGTCCTTTTCAATATATCCAGAAAAAAATACAAAGAAAGATTATGTAGTTAAGTTTTATTGGGTTTGTTCTTTAAGTTCACATAGTTAATAAGCTTTTTTTTGAGCAAAACATAGTTAATAAGCAAGTGTTACATATAGAAGTAACTACACCTTTTGATGCTGATCGTGTAATTACATCTTTTGATGCGTTGTAATTCACGTCTACAAGTGACTTCACATCGCCTGATTGAGTTCTCGATGGAGGAATTAAGGCAAGCAACGAACAATTTTGACATGGCTAATACTATTGGGCTTGGATGTTACGGAGTAGTTTATACTGGGCTGATCGGAGACAAGATTGTTGTGATCAAAAGGGAGTGGTGTGGTCTCCAACCTAGATTCTTGGCTGAGGTACACAAAAAGAAAAATTTGCTGATTTCATTGGAAATAATTTATGTATTTGTCACATATTGTGGTATGTGTCTCAGGTTTCTTACATGTCTAAAATCCAACATAGAAATTTGGTTAATCTGCTCGGAACCAATTGCTCGTCTTTGAGTATATGGTCAACGGTAGCGTGCGAGATTATCTAGATGGTAAGTAATGCATGCACTATATAGTGAACTTCTGAAGTTTGGTGCATAGATCATTTTTTGTGATCATCTCTCTTGTTCATTGAGTAGCCTCTAGGGACTTAACATTCAAGAAAAGGATTTCCATAGCTCTTGATGCAGCCAAAGGTAAACTCACATTAACTGTTTTTAGGGTCTTTCTAAGAAGTAATATTAAAGTTTCTCTGTTTTTCAATTCAGGGTTGCTACACTTGCACAACTTAGATCCTCCGGTACAACACAAGAGATTTACGACGTCTAAAGTTTTGCTTGATGCCGACCTCAATGCCAAGGTATCAGATCCGGGAATGTTGGGACTGCTTGAAGCACGTGATCTTCGTCTAGTTAATCCAAGGTATTAAATCACTTATGATAAGTTACATCATTCCTTCTAAGTCCTAACAAATATGTTCTTATGAATATTTGATTTTTTATCTTTTATATAGAGGTGGTTTAGCGGAGACCATTGATGTTTTTAGCTTCGGGTTGTTCCTTCTAGAGCTTATCACCGGTGAAAAACCTGATGTGTTTGAATCAAACGAAGAAATTGTTCAATGGGTAATAGAAAAAAACCTCTCTATCTCCATATAAAGCTTGCCACACTTTTTTTTTGTGTACTTCAAAAAATATTTTTTGTAAATGTATTTGTGATTTGTAGATACTTCCGAGAATGTTCAATAGATCATCGTTCAAGCCTTATATGAAGATTACGTTGGAATGCTTGAATTATCCCGCGATAGATCGCCCAAAGATGGATGTGGTTGTGACCGAGCTTGAGACGATTTACCAGAATGAAGTCATCAGTGAAGACCGTGGGGTTTCTCTAGGAAGTGAGCTTTTTAACATTACCATTGAGTAAGAGTGAGACATGATGTTGTTGTTTCAGTCTATGTCGAAATCCTATAAAAGGCTATAATAAAAGATTTCGAAGATTTCAAACAAAATCCAATTTGGGTCTTGTAGACTCGCATCGAATGAGACTAAAACCGGTTTAGCCAATACAAACCACTATTAAACCGTATCTGATTCGAACCGGGTGGTCTAAATTTGGTTGAAATAACTGGATTAAACCTAGCGATCCTAATGATGATAGGATAAATCGAACTAAGGGTGAAATGAATCAGGTTTTGTGTTTCTATGTAATTTGAAACGCAATGCAATGGTTATGTTTTGCGGGCTTCAACGGATTATCTGTTTTGTATGGTTATGAACAGGTGAGGGATGTTATGATATAGAACATTGACAAAGTTCTTGATAGAGGCGAACGCCTTGAGCTTTTTGTCGATAAAACCGCGAATATGCAAGGGAATACATTCCGGTTCGGAAAGCAAACACGTCGTTTCAGCAACACGATGTGGTGGAGAAATTGCAAACTCACGTATGTTTTCCTAAACCATAATTCCTTACCATGTTACCTTAAGCATGAATTCAAAATGATTTAAAACATACATTATCACAAATGTCCGTCCATCTACTTTCTAGCCAACTCCCGAAAATCCCCATCTCCACCCGCAAAACAGCAAAATTTTGCACGAACAATATAATTTTACCACTAATTCTGAATTTTAAATTGCTAACCGGAAATCTTTAAACCTAACCCAAATTTGTGAGTTCATTATAACAAAATTTCAAGGTTTATAAAAATGAAACAAGTATTTTAAATGATTTATATTTATGTTCAAAACCCTTAAAAAACTTAACCCGGCCCTAAACCCTAGATAAAATAGCAGTTCTGTCGGATGTAATAACAAAAACCGCCACAGAAATGATGAAGCAGAGCTCGTCGGAGGCAATGTTGTCTTCATCAGCCGTGGACAAATCTCATTACTCCATTTCATGGGAGAAGCCTCTCTCATCGTCGAGAGATGGAAGCGGAGGAGCCCAAGAGATCATGGCCGTCGATAGGCCAGGAGAATACACAGCCAAGTGTCGATGGACGGTCGAGAGCTTCCCATGTCTCAAAGCTAAGGCACTGTGGAGCAAGTACTTCGATGTAGGAGGCTACGATTGTCGTCTCTTGGTTTACCCTAGAGGTGACTCACAAGCCCTTCCTGGCTACATCAGCATCTACCTTCAGATCATTGACCCTCGAGGAACCACTTCATCTCTATGGGACTGTTTCGCTAGCTACCGACTCTCTATCGTCAACCATGTCGATGATTCACTCACAATCCATAAGGAGTCTTGGCATAGATTCTCTAGTAAGAAGAGATCTCATGGATGGTGTGATTTCACTTTAAACTCGAGTATTTTGGATTCTAAGATTGGTTTTTTGTTTAACAATGATTCCTTGCTTATCACGGCTGATATCTTGATTCTCAATGAGTCTGTGAGTTTTAGTATTGATAATAACAATGAGTTAAATTCCGTAGCTGGACCAATGCCTGATGTGTTGAGTGGGAATTTCACTTGGAGGGTAAATAATTTTAGCTTGTTTAAGGAGATGATGAAGTCACAGAAGATAACAAGCCCTGTTTTCGTAGCGGGGGAGTGTTATTTGAGGATCGGTGTGTATCAAAGTGTGGTTAATGAGCAAGAGTACCTATCCATGTGTTTGGACAGTAGTGATACCGAAAAGACTGTTTTATCGGACAAGAGCAGTTGGTGTTTGTTTAGCATGTCAGCTTTGAATCAGAAGCCTGGGTGCACTCACATGAATAAAGAGTCTTATGGGAGGTTTGCTGCTGATAATAGGAGCGGGGATAATACGAGTGTGGGCTGGAACGATTACATGAAGATGTCTGACTTTGTGAACCCGGAAGCCGGGTTTTTAGTCGATGACACGGCTGTCTTTAGCACCTCATTTCATCTTATTAAAGAGCTCAGTAGCTTTACTAGGACTGGTGGGTTAATTGGGGGAAGGAATGGGACTAGATATGGACAAATGGGAAAATTCACTTGGACAATTAAAAATTTCAGAAGGTTAGTGAATCTTCTGGAGAAAAGGAAGATAACCGGTCTTTACATCAAAAGTAAGAGGTTTCAAATTGGTAACCGGGATTGTCGACTTATTGTTTACCCCCGAGGTATGTAAGTTCACTCAATTTTCTTATTTCTGCATTTGTAGTGCTCAATGTCTGAACTGATGGTCTTACTCTAAAATGGTTTCAGGGCAGTCCAAGGCACCATGCCTTCATCTTTCAGTATTTCTTGAAGTGACAGATTCACGAAGCGCTAGTAGCGATTGGAGTTGTTTTGTTAGCCACCAACTATCAGTTGTTAACCAGAGATCAGATGAGATGTCAGCGACAAAGGAATCTCAGAACCGATACTCAAAAGCCGAAAAGGATTGGGGTTGGCGTGAATTCGTAACACTTACTAGTTTGTTTGATCAAGACTCTGGATTTCTTGTTCAAGACTCTGTTGTTTTCTCGGCTGAGGTTCTTATTTTGAAAGAAACGTCTCTAACAAAAGACTACACGGAGGCAGACTCTACTAATCCAGTTTCACAAATTGATAACACCATGAAAAGTTCATTTACTTGGAAAGTGGAGAATTTCTTGGCCTTCAAGGAAATAATCGAAAAACGAAAGATTTTTAGCAAATTCTTTCAGGCTGGTGGATGTGAACTTCGGATTGGTGTATACGAGGTGTTTGATACTATATGCATATATTTAGAGAGTGATCAATCTGCAGGTACCGATGCGGACAATAATTTCTGGGTTAAGTACAAGATGGGTATTCTCAACCAAAAGAATCCGGCCAAAAGTGTGTGGAAGGAGTCATCTATATGTACCAAGACATGGAATAATTCTGTTCTACAGTTTATGAAGGTGTCTGACATGTTGGAGGCTGATGCTGGGTTTCTTGTACATGACACTGTCGTGTTTGTGTGTCAGATATTGGATTGTTGTCCTTGGTTTGAGTTTTCAGACCTAATGGTTAGTTTATACTCCATTTTATTTCTTAAACAGTATAATTATGTTATTAATTAACCTTACTCTTTTTTAGGTCTTGGCTTCAGATGATGACCAAGCTGATGCCTTAACCACCAACCCTAGTGAAATTATTGGTTCTGAAGAAAGTGAGGAAGACACATTCCAATATTTTCTTTCGCGAGCTGGAATCAATCTCGCGCTTGGGGAAAATCCGTCACAACTACAAGTTACTCTCCAGGAGAAGTTTCTAATGGATGCGGGTGCAATTTCTGGTTTTCTTACTGAGTTGCGTGTTTATCTTGATGATCCTACTAGAGTAAAGCGTTTACTTCTTCCGACAAAGAGTGATGAATATTCACCCAGCTTGATGAATTTTCTGATGGGTGTTAAAGTTCTACAGCAAGGAATTATTGATTTACTTCTTGATAAAATGGTTGAGTATTGCCAACCTTTGAAGAAAGGCTCTCATTCTGATGGCTGTGTGGCTGCAACTTCATCGGTGTCAAAGGTTGGTCTCTCATACTACTGAAAGCTATCCAGCAGCTTTTCTTTTTTGCTCAATTGTTTTTCTGACCACTTCTAATAAATTTTGTTGTGGCTAGAACAGTCTGAGGAGGTATTGGGACTGATTGTTAACTCACTAAAAACAATCGATGCGGTTGTTCCACAAGGTTGTTCTGAGTTTAGGCGACGACCATACTCTGCTACAAAAATTGCTCTTGTTTTAGACAGAGCACCCAAACATTTGCTACAAGATTTAGTTAGTCTGGTTCCTATATTGGTTGAGCATTCAGAGCATTCACTGGCTGCTTATGCACTTATTCAACGGCTTCTAAAGCCCGAAGCTGAAATATCTTTACGTGAAGCAGTAAGTGCAAGTTCATTTCATGAACTAGATCAAAAGTGTAAACATCTCCTCCATCTGACTTTTATTTCGTTGCACAGGTATACAATGCTCTTAGCCAGTTAGAATGTGATAGTGAAGTGTGGGAGCACATTCTACTTCAGTCATATGAGTTTCTAAGTGATTCATATGAGGAGTCTCTTGTTGCGACCATTCATTTCATACTTAAAATTGCTTCCCAGTGCCAACAATTACCCGAAGCCGTAAGTAATGACGTGTCTCGATCAGTTTCTCGTCTTTGTTGCGAGTAGATAGTTTCCTAATCTTGGCTAGCTAGTTAACCTAAGAATTTTTCTTATGCAGGTCAGGTCAGTCCGTGAGAGGCTTAAAAGTCTAGGTGCTGATATTGCCGAAATGATACGTAGGGACATCAACAGTGACTTCTTGGTGGGTCTTTGATTCAGGCCATTTTGTTTAGGTTTTGAAAATATTTTATGGGTTAGGCTTTAGATTTTAAGGCTTAGGGCTTGGTTTCTACTTTTTAGAGACTAGGGTTTAGGTTTTAAAGCTTAAAGTTTAGAATTGACGTTTTAAAGATTTATTAATTTATCCAACTTTAGAGTATATTTATAATTCTGAAATAAATCTATGTTAGTTTCATTTCATTATCTTTTTTTCTTTTTTTTGACACCTGAAATCTGTTTCATTTATAGTCTATAGAAATGGAATGGTATTTGAGATGAATTAATGGTATACAAAATTATAATTGTGAAAAATTAAAAATTCCAAACTTGATTGTGTTTTGAAATGTGATAGTGAAAAATATAATATATATTAAATAACGGTGGTCGGTATCCGCTAAAATAAAATCGAATTAACCGAGCACCGAACCGAAATGCGTACCCCTACAAGAGTCTATGCTTATAATTTTTTTATTGTCTAAAACTTGGTTTTCAAAGTTAGTAACTCGTATGATATCGACACATGTAAAATTTATCTATTAGATGTTGACATGTGTCAGAAAAGATTTATTTATTTTTTCCTTAAGAAAATAGGAAAACTTAAAAAACAAATTTACACATATACTAATTCATATGTCTATATCTAAAACGATTTTCACTTTTATTTTTCTTAACCAAAATGGAAAACTAACTATTTATTTTTTACATGCGTTATTGGTCAATTAAATTTGGCATGTATTAAGTTTCAAGAAAAAACCATTTAGCATGAATATTAACTAATAAAAAATGACTATTGAAGTTCAAAATAACAATATGAGTTATTCAAAAGTAATTTAATTGGATAAAAGTTGTATTTATCATTGTAATATAATGTTTTCACTTATGAGTACATGCGTTAAAATTCTTAGAATAAAACATAAGTATAATTATACTAATATTCTCATCAAGTATTCAAAAATTCATTCTTAAAACTCATTACCTTTTCAAAAATAATTGTGATTTCATTTAACGATTTAATAGGATTGATTTTTGATTACTTGATGAGAATGTAAGTATATGTGTTATTTATTAATTTTAAGTCATTTAAAATTATTTGGACATGAGCTTAAATTAACTAATGAGATTTGGACATATGTGTTATTTATTAATTTTAAGTCATTTTATCTCCCAAAGCCAACCATAATTGTCTGCTTTTCTGTTTCCAGTATTCTTCCTCTGCTTTGTAGGCCAGCAGCAGCTTATTGTTAATAGTAGAGATCAGTTCTTGGTTGGGGTCAAGGCTTGACATTGCTTCTTCTAGTTGTTGCATGAGTTCCTCAATAAGTTTCTGGCTATTCTGGTATTTCTCTCTGTTCCAGGTGAGTAGAATCAAAATCTAGTTTATTATGATAAAATAGATAGTTAAATTTGTACTGCAAAAAAATTGTATGAGACTAGGGTTTAGGTTTTAAAGCTTAAAGTTTAGAATTGACGTTTTAAAGATTTATTAATTTATCCAATTTTAGACTATATTTATAATTCTGAAATAAATCTATGTTAGTTTCATTTCATTATCTTTTTTTTTTCTTTTTTTTGACACCTGAAATCTGTTTCATTTATAGTCTATAGAAATGGAATGGTATTTCAGATGAATTAATGGTATCTATATATACATTTTTGGTGAAGATTTGGCCTCAAAAATCCTTTTACAATTTCAATATTGTACATTTAGTCCCTACAAATAAAATCTGACAAAATATATGTCTTAATGAAATTTACAAATCAATTAATAAACTCTTCTAACAATTCCTATTTTTGAAAAAACGAGATTTGAGATCCTAACATATGGAAATCAAATATTCAAATGATAATGACAATAAATAAATTAACATACAATATTCTTAAACTCAACTAATCCTTGCCAAAATTCTCGCTCATATTCAATTCTGTTTCTAAAAAAAATATCAAGTATTGCATGACATTAAACGTAATATTTACGTTTCCGAATTTGACAAACGTAATAATCTAATATCTCATCTTTGATATATCCCTTGGTATCACGTAATGCATTTTTGGTATGTATATAGTTAATGAAATCAATTATGAATATTTAATTCTAACATAAAACCATTTAATGCTATGGAATAATACTTTACCGAAAGAATAATCTCTTATTGGTATGACTTTTAAATTAAGGAAATCAATATTTACAATTTAATGCTAATATTATAACATAAATAAATCGAAACAGATCTTTTATTTTCTATTTTTGTTAAGCATATTTTCGAGAAAATATAGGCAATCAGAACTACTTACTACACCTAATGGCATATTCCTTTATTCCAATTTTGTTATGATTTTAAAGATACTATGCTTGGTCATCAAGATCTTTGTGACCTAACTTAAACCACTATAAATACTCGAACTATTGACAACTTCTCACATCATCGATCCAAAATAACGTTTTCCTAAATCCATCAAAAGAAACTTTCATCTCCCAATGGAAGCTTCATTTGCATTCCTTAAAAACCTATCTCCCTTTGTAATCTAACCCTCTGTATCGATTTGAGATATCTATCTTGGCTTTTTTTTTGGTGCAGCTGAGTGTTATCATTGATGTTGCCGGAGAGGAAGCTTATCTATCATCTCCAGCCGAGATTGTTCGGTAAGGTATATTTTATTCGACATATGAACCAAAAGTATAAGAGCTTAAACAAACTGAAGCCAAAGCGGTCTCTCATTTAATTTTATGTGTATATGCAGCGTTGTCGCAGAGACCAGTGTACCCATCTTCTAAGCCAGCAAAAGATTGGGACAAGCTGGAAGCTGAAGTGAAGAATAAACAGGTTCCACAAACGCAAACTTCTCATCCTTAACACTAGAGGCTTTGCTTTAATTTTATTCTTTCTGCTTATCACTTTTGAATTCCTCAGGAGAAGGATGAGAAGCTTGATGGAGATGCGGCTATCAACAAATTTTTCAGCGATATATACTCAAGTGCAGATGAGGACATGAGGCGAGCTATGAACAAATCATTTGTGAGCAAACCTTTCTTTGGTCTTTATTTTTTTAGTTTTATAACTTTCTCCTTTGTTTTTTTTTTGACTGATGATATATGCATGCTTGGGTGATTTTTGGGTTTGACAGGCTCAATCAAACGGGACGGTACTGTCGACAAATTGGAAAGAAGTTGGGACTAAGAAAGTGGAGAGCACAATGGATATGGAACTCAAGAAGTGGGAATACTGATCTTCTTAAAATCCTCTTTTCTGGTTTTTGTCAAAAATATGACAAATCTTTTGAACTTTTTATGTTTCTTTTGTTTTTTGCTTGCATTTGTCTCTCCATTCTTGCGTTGTGGTCTTAAAGAACGTTCTGATACTTTGATTTTGTATTAGAAAACTAAAATCACAAGTCTGTTGTTTTTGCACTTTCTTCTTTTTCAAATCAAGTCTTTTAAGTCGTCCATTTCTCTGAAAAGAGTCACGCTTCAAGCGTTTCTTTCTCCGACAAGAAATGGTAACTTTTGTAAGACGTCACCCAAAGCTTTGATATCTCCGACTAGGGTGTGCAATAAGTAGCAGAATCTGTCAACGGCTGCAAAGCTCAGGAGATCATTTTCGCCATCAAGACTAGCTATGAGGCTGGTCTCTCCAATGAAGAGCAGGAAAAGTGTAGCCAAGTGTGATGATCATGAGATGGTGAGTGGATTGAAACAGCGTCCGGTTTTAGTTCCCAAGAGATTCTCGATGGGAAGAATCTAATAAGAGAGAGTTTTAAATGAAAGAAGATATTCTTTTAGTTTTTGATGTGTTTGTGTATTAGTTAATCTTTCAGATGTTTGATCGTCAAGAAAAGTGTATGGGAGAAAACATTAATTTATTAAGTGGAATTACTTTTGATCAAGTGTGGGTTTAATTTGAGGTATAATTGCACCGTGGTCTAAAAAGGTTACATGTATAGACATATAGTTCTATAAATAATATCGTAGTCCATCGAATGGAAAGGAATCAAAATAATTATTAATTTATAATTTGGTTGAACTAACTTCGCTGAAATCAGTGATGTTTTTTTTTTCCATTATCTTATTTTATTTGTTTAGATAGAACGTGTTTCTAATAAGTAACAACGTATATTAACAAAACAAAATCGACAGATTTAGAACATTGATTTATCCTTTTTTATATTCTTAATGGGTCTTTACTTTCTGAATGATATTTGTAAACACTATCGCCTTCTTCCCACCAAATTAATTTTATGCAATAATCAATTAAAAAAAAAACAGGAAAGAAAAGGGTGTGGTTTATCTTTTCTTTTTTGGTTATTTGCACATAATCCGGGTGTTTGAATTGTTTCCAAAGTTTGTTTAATATTTCTTTTATGCAATAATGAACTAAAATATGTTAAATTAACTCACTAAACATTCCTAATTTTTTGTTTACGAGATTTGAGTTTCAAATATATGGAAATCAAATATTTAATTTTTAATGCTATTAAACATAATATCGAGAATATCTAGCAAATGGAAACTAATAAAACAAAATAATCGTGATCAAATCTAAATTACCATTTAAACTTCTTCCCATTAAGTCAAACGCGATTCAAGTCGATATCTAGGTAATATCTCAACAAGTTGATTTTTTACACAAATTATTCCACATTCCATATTTAAAAATGCATGTTTAAGAAGAAATATATTACCATATTATTTAAAACGTTTTAAATATGTGTAATATTACTAAGAGATTAATAGAAGATATTATCCCCAAATATCGCTTAAATATTAACTTTTCTTAATTACATTCAATTTTTTTTACGATTTTAAAGATATGTGGTGTGTATTTATTACTATAATCTTGATTGATTAATCGAATAAGATTTAATGCTAACAATAAATATTATGTGCAAATCATAATTGGTTAAATAATTAAAAGCATATCTTCTACAGATTTGCTAAACAATATATATATTCTAAATCATTGGTATATTACAACAATATATTTTAAAGATCACAATATTTCCAAAAACAAGATAATCATTTATTCAATCACAATATTTCGGATTTATTAGTTTCCTCGATAAGATTTGTGTATATCAAAATTTAACTTCACCACCAAGAAAATAACAATAATTTAGAAGGCCTAAACTTATATGATCTCTATATAAGAAATGTCAAGAGCAGTCATTTTATTCATCTACACACATTTCTGTTTAACAAATTTCAAAGTTTTCATACACCATACACCACCATTCAGTTTTATATACTACAAAAATCATAAATTTATGAAGATCAAAATTAAAAAGTCAAAATTATCCCACGGGTCAATATTTAAATATGTAATTGAGTTACTATATTACATATATTTTATGGGTTAAATCTAACAATCCAAAAGTGTAATCATATAGCTTTTATAAGAAATAATTTTTTTTTGTTAAAATCCAACATTGTTATATATACAAATTCAAAATATTATATATATTTGAATTTTATTAAAATTTAAACAATATAATTTTGTAAACTTTTGAAAAGTTAAACTTTATAAAACGGTTTAAATATTTATAATATTAAAAATTTAATGAAGTTTCAAATATTATAAATATTTGAACTTTATATGAATTTATATAAAGTTTAAACATTATAAATATTTATAAAAAGAAATTAATACGGGATGGTATACTTGCACATATATATAAAGTCCTTACACACTTTCAAAACTATTTAAATATACAACAAACACAATAAGATGATACGTTATTTGCACACGCCGCGGTACATCGTCGCTTACTAAATAGTAATCTCATTTTCCTTTATTATTATAAATATTCAAACATACAATATACTAATCGTACAATTAACACTATATAGATTTCTATATATATTCTAATCACACATGTAAATAGGTTATATAAAGACATATTATATTTAAAACCTATATTGATTTTTCTCAAACAAACATATATTATTTTTTTAAATAAAAATATAGTCCCGCGGTGTACCGCGGGTCAATCCCTAGTACAAAATTATAATTGTGAAAAATTAAAAATTCCAAAACTTGATTGTGTTTTGAAATGTGATAGTGAAAAATATAATATATATTAAATAACCGTGGTCGGTGTTGGTGTCGGATCCCGCAATTCGGATCCAGCCCATAAAAATGATAGAACAATGAAAAGGAGTGGGCCGTCAGCCCATTCCAGAGGACGAAAAGAGCGGTCCAGTGGGTTCTGAACTAGCCCGAATGAAACGTCGAGATCTCGACGTTTTAAATGAGAGCGAAACATACGGGATCTGCGAGATCAAGAAGATTCGAAACGGAAGCAATAATGAAGGCGAGATCTACGGCTTGACGGAGGATTTCGGTTTCGAATCATGTAATTATAAATAGGAAACAAAAACCATTGTAATGGGGACCGATTTCTTGAGCAATATACAGATACATACACTTCACTCTTTGTTTTCTTTTTGACGATTGTTATTCGAATTAACAAGGCTAGACGACCCGATACACATCTTAAAATTTGTATTGCGGATTCCGACATCCACAATTTGGCGCTAGAAGGAGGGGACTCTAGTCTTTTACTCCAGAATACCAATCGAGAAGATGTCAGACGTGACGGATTCGGCTTCAGCCCTCGACGAGATCAAGAAAATGCTGAAAGATCTATCCGAAAAGACTGACCAGCAACAGCTCGCGACCACTACTTTGTCTGAGAAGTTTTCAGCGTTCGAAGAACAAAGCAACAGCCAAATCGCAGTCCTCACGGCAAGTTGTTCCGAAATCAGGTCAGCCCACAATGCTTATGCCGATCGGGTTGATACTATTCTTGCAGGAACCTTGCGAACCAGCGGACCTCGCGGGCATCTGGATTTTCACAATCCAAACACTTCGGAAGTTCAGGATCCTAGGCTTGTCACCCCTAGCAGTGCGCTTCCAGCTTCGTTACCTCTGGGTTCTCAAAGCGAGCCTGGAGGAGGATCCAGTTTTCCACAAGCACCTCAAAATCCAGCCAGCGATTCATTCGCTCCGGTCAGAACACCTTTTCCTGTCCATCCGGAGAACACCCCGCGTCACCCCCAAACCGGATTCAATCTACCTCGTCTCCCGGTCAACCCGGAAATCCAGAACCTGCAGAATCAAATCCGGGAAATGAGTTCGAAGGTCCATCAAGCCACCAGCTCGGCTCCCGAAGTCGATAGAGTGATCGAGGAGACAAGAAGGACTCCTTTTACTCCACGAATTGCAGCCCTGCGAATTCAAGACCAAAGGAAGGTCAAACTTCCGGGGTACGATGGTAAGGGAGACCCCAAAGAATTTTTAACATCTTTTCAGGTCACCGCAGGGCGCGTACATCTGGAGCCAAATGAAGTAGACGCGGGTTTATGCAAACTCTTCGCTGAGAACCTGTCCGGGCCGGCTTTGACCTGGTTTACTCAACTAGAAGAGGGATCTATCGATAGCTTCAAGCAGCTATCCACTGCTTTCATTATGCAGTACAGATACTTCATCAAGAGCGATGTAACTGATGCACAGTTATGGAACCTCTCGCAAGGAGCCGGAGAGCCACTCCGGACTTACATCACGTCCTTTAAAGAGATTATGGTTCAGATCCCAAATCTGTCTGATTCCGCAGCTATTGCTGCACTCAAGAACGGTCTCTGGCATGAATCTCGTTTCCGAGAAGAATTGACTGTTAACCGACCAGCCACTATTCAGGACGCTCTTCATCGGGCAACGAACTGGATAAACGCGGAGGAAGAGCGAGCTGCTCTAGCCAAAAAGTTCAAAGCTGCCCCGAAGCCCGCTCAGCTTCCTCCGCAGAAGAAACCTGTTCAAGCCGAAGCTCGCAAACCCGGAGCGGGAACATTTTCAGTAGATCGAGAAGAGCCGAAAAGTTCCCCGAAAAATTCACCTGCGAAGCAATCCTTCTCGCCCAAGAACAAAAACGGCGCATTCCCGAGTAACAAGTGGATCCGTGATCCAAACGCCTACTGCGAAATCCACAAAGTTAATGGACATGCTACGAAAGATTGCAAAGCTTTAGGAAGACTGCTGGCTGCTAAGTTCGCATCTGGTGAAATACCCGAAATCGATGTTTCGGAGCTCGAGCCAACTCATCCGTCAGAGCAAACAGTCGAACCAGAAGTGTCCTCTCCTCCTAATAAGAAATCGAAGAGGATCCAATCTCCGGATATTCCTAAAGGACCAAAAAAGCAAATCCAGGTGATTATGGGGGGATCCAAGCTTTTTCGAGACTCCATTAGTGCGATCAAACAACACGAACGAAGAACAAACTCCCCGGTAGTCAAAAAAGCGAGAATCATTGAGGAGCAGTTACCCGAAGTAATTTTCTCCGAGAGCGAGACGAGTCAACTTGACAAACCGCACGATGATGCTCTGGTCATAACACTTGATATTGCGCATTGCGAAGTATCACGAGTTCTCATCGACACTGGGAGTTCGGTG